CCACAAATAGGTTGTTCTAGCAGATCAATACACCTTACTCCACCAAGCAATGTGATTGTATCCCATGGGATTTTTATTGAGAACAATGCATATTATGAGTGCATGGACTGAAATGCAGTCCGATTATAATTCCTCCCATGCCACCGCCACAAGACCTACCGGTAATCAGATTAACACTGTAAGTTATACGCAAAGTGTGGAATGCTACTACCTCTTTGTCTCTGCTTCAATATTTCATTCATTTTCTGCTTGATTTTTCATTTTAATAAAATGATATAAAGTGGCTTTTCTTACAAAATATGTTAAAATATTAAAAGGCAAACTTTTCAAGAGCTGGAAATGCTTTGATTGTGAGAGAAAAATAAAGTTTGAAGTGGTCATTAGTAAAACTTTGCAAAAAAAGGGGGGGTCACTTGAAGCAAATGAAAAAAAAAAGCTTTAATTTGGCCAGGAGCAACATATGTCTCGGGGTACTTTCTTTGTGTACACAAAGTAAAATTAGGAGAAACAGCACTATCTAAAATCCACGTCAGACTGCCTAGAATGATCTTGATCTTTTAAGTTGCTCCCTCTTTATACGCACCATGTGTGGCGCTTCCCTGTGGTTTGTTATTTTTCTTCAATAGCAGGAGGAGGAAACGAACAATGCTCGGCAACCACACTGCATAGCGCAGGGTAACCATGGAAGCATTTGTCCACTTGCTAGGGCCTCTCCAGAATGATCCAGCCATTCATTTCATTGAATCAATATTGAAGCTTTTAAGGATTTATTATTCGGGAGCTGGGACAAAACCAATGAAACCAAAAAAGACTGGCTTCTTTTTTCTCCCCATTCAATCCGTTTGGTCATGTTAAACATATTTGTATCTTGCAAACTCTTTTAGCTTCTTGCAGGATGAGCAACATTATGGCTTATGAAGAGTCGTAAGATGTTGGCATTAACATTCCTGATACTCCGTGAAAGGAAATCTATGGATTTCTAAAGCATTCTGCCAGCCTTGTAAAAAGGAGGAGTCCAATGCGGACACAAAAGGGGCAAAAGAATGGGGGTGGAGCAAATCTGACTTAAAATGCACAAGGAAAGCTTTTAAAAACATTTTGCTTGTTTTGGAAGGCTCCTTCCACCCCTGCACATACTGTTGAACTATGCTCTCACCTCTGAGCTTTTTTGACAAGGGCTTTCCAAACATTTAAAATAAAATAATTGATTTCTAAGGCTACATATATTGACTGTGTCTGAACGTCATAGTAAGCATAGTTGAGCTTCCTGCATTGTAGGGGCTTGGACTAGATGACCCTTATGGTCCTTCCAACTCTATAATTCTATGGACAGTTTGCCCCAGTTTTATTCCTACTCCCTCGAGAGCAGATGCAACAAACCACAATCCTTGGTTTACAGGACTGTGTCCAAATGAGCATTGTGGTTTGCTCAAATTAGGCCTATACTACTTTTGGGCAGGGTATCTTTCCAACCCCAACTCCAGGAAGCCAATACAGAACCACCACAAAAGCTTAAAAACAGATCATATAGTACATCTGATATAAATACTGTTTTTCATAGCTGTTTCTTACCGGTCTACTTAAGGTTTGTAGAACACCATGCATAACAACAGTGTTTTATGACCAGCAACAGCAGCAACAATAATAACGCAGGTAATAATAATTAGCACTAGTTACTGTATATTGGCAGTTGCTAGGTGACAAAATTCACTTCAACACTTGGTAAAATAGTGTTGACCAAATTACCCTAGGAGAGCTTGGTCATCTGAATGAGCTCTAGATTAGCTGACCATATGATTGAGCTGTATTTCGTCCCTTAAAATTGCTTCTGCAAAACAAGTTTCCTGCCTTTTCCAATTATTTAACTCCTTTCTTCCTCAAAGATACTAGTAGGATTGTCTAATATGTTCCTCATTTGCAAATTCTGATTTCAACCCCAGGCAAGTAGTGAAGGGCAAGCAAACTGAGTTCCTACAGTTGCACACACAGGTGTCACGCAATGATTAATACTGACCCTGTTAACTCACTTAATATGCACTGTTAGGATAAGTGAAGTAATTTACATAGGGAAGGAGAAAGGCTGTATTCACATTAGTATTCATAGGTTGTGCAGCTACTGTCCTGTTCATCAAGTTGAAAATATACCCTTTTGTATGGTGATGGGAAAATGTCATTAGGTACAAATGGTTACAGAAAGGAGTGTAGCAGGGTCACAGCAAATCCCCCTTATTTTGTTTTCCTTGAGGAAGTGCTCTGCTCTAGCAATGCTTATTTGATCCAATAGTGTCTGTAGCGTCTGTCTGGAAAGAAATGCTGGGATTCCCTTAACCTGACCTTCCCCCTTGCTGAACCACCCAATATTTCAAAAGTAATGTTCTGCTAAAGATACAGCAGCAGTGATATGTGGCACAATAAACACCCAGCTTTGTCACAGGAATTGCTGAGGAGAAATCTACAAACCTCTCTTGGTTTCCACCCACAGCTATGTGACTGGTGTTAAAAAGCAGTCTTTCAAAAACAATGCATGAGGGCTGAGTTCTCAGTTTCTTTGCTATTGACAATTCCACTTTTTTACATGGTCATGTCCAAAAAGGGACTTGGCTGAAAGTTTCTCTAGCTGTCACTTTGTGGTTGATTTATGCTATGTTGTTTGCAATTCAAGGATGTTTACGTTATTCTGGTTGTGTTCTGAAAGTTACCTTGAGTTCACTTGGTGAAAAAAGGCAGGTTCTAAGTTCTTAAAATAACACAAAGATTTTTCTTTTAAAAAAGGTTTCAAATGTGCCTTGTCAATAGATGAGTAACATTAACAGTTGACATTTATCTTTAGCCAGTAAGCTTTTCTGCCATCTACAGACATCACAAGTAAAATGAACTGTTCTGTTTAGAAAGACCATTTCAATTCCTCCATTAACAGGCAAATCAGCCAAACTTTTCTCCTCATGCTTTTCTTTGGGGAAGGCAGGCAGATTATTAATTCCTATAAGTAAATCGTAGTTACTAAATGAGTATTAATCAATGTATAAGCACATATTAACTAACAACCTTCAGATTATTAGCTTAGAATAATCAATGTACACAGTGTCTGTAGTTAAGAGGAATCCCTGATCTGGACCTTGTGTGGAAATGAATTCAGTCCACCAGTGTGGTGGGAGCCAGTGTGGTGTAGTGGTTAAGAGCGGTCGACTCGATATCTGGTGAAGAGGGTTCGCGTCTCCGCTCCTCCAAATGCAGCTGCTGGGTGACCTTGGGCTAGTCACACTTCTCTGAAGTCTCTCAGCCTCACTCACCTCAGAGTGTTTGTTGTGGAGGAGGAAGGGAAAAGGAGATTGTTAGCTGCTTTGAGACTCCTTAGGGTAGTGAGAAAGAGGGATATCAAATCCAAACTCCTCTTCTTCTTCTACCGTAAGAATGTGCTTCAAAGCTTTATTGCAGAACAGTCTTGAATACCAGTTACAATAAGATAATCGGTATGAGTTTAGGGACTGTGAGCATCATCATGGGAGGCATGTTTTTAGGACTAAGGTTTGAAACTGTGAAGCTCCCTGGTTATTTTTGCTATTGAATGCTGCATGTTGTTTAAGTACTCATATATATATATATATATATATATATAGTATCAAAATGTGGCTTTTTGTATGTTATTGTAGTTACTATAGTTTTGCTGTGTCATTATGAAATTGTTATTATGCTACTGTTTTGCTATGTTATTATGAAATTGCTTTTGTCATGTTTGTTTGAAATGTAGCCCTGTTTTCTTTGTTGTAAACCTCTTTGAGCATGTTTTGCATTTTTTTGTTGCAAAAGCGGCATATAAATAAAATGAATAATATTAAAAATGTTTGCAAAAACAAAACAAAACCCCAACACATTTTTGTATGACGTAAGATCCAAGTTATAAAGATGAAAAATTCCTGCTTTTTGCTCTTGCTTTTTAATGTTTTGGTAGACACAGTACTCCCCAGTCAGATGCACTAAAATCTTGGATAGCTGAATTGCTTTCTATGGGGCAGCAATCACTTCTCTGCAAGAGAAAATAAACAGAAAAGGTTTAAAAACAAACCAATAAGATGTTAGACATGATGAGATGCAACTCAGATTACACTGAAGGCTGATGTATCTATTGTACATACAAAAAAAGAGAGAGGAACCTCCAGGTTTTGTAGAGTAGACTGTCCTTCTTCCTGACCTAACCTTTTTCCTTGCCTCAGGTGTGCTACTCCAGCATGGATTCAGTATTCAGGTATGAAGGAGGAGGAGCATCAACATAGTCTCACACTGCTTGGGAAGTACCATGGGGAGATTTAGGCAGCTGTGGGAAAGCGGGGACCTTTAGCCTCCGCAATTGCCTCATAGGGGCAAGACCTACTGAGAAGAGTTGCTGTGCTCATTAGGCTGTGCTTCTAAGCTGGCTGTGTTTCTTGTAACAGTTAATTTCACTTACTCCATGTGATTTATTCCCGACACCCGCTTCTTGTTTGACATGGAGCTTTAAAGGGCTTTATTTTTCTTTGCACCAGAACTTTCCCTGCAAAAATGCTGAATCGGAGCATGCAATGTGCAGAAAATCTGAATTGCTGCTTGTTGCACTACAGCTTTAAATAGCGAGTTTTCGCAGGGAAAACATCACAGCAAAAAGAAAAGCGGAGGTCCTGTGCCTGGGAAGCGTGGGGCAAAACGGTAAGTGTGGATATGCCCTAAAGAGCAGATTTTCCCTAGGAAAGGAGTGGGCCAAAGGCAAACCAGCTCAGGCCTTGCTTTCTTTAGCAAAGGACAAGCAGAAGTGTGCATGATGTTTTCCACCTTGCAGTCGTGCTTCAGGGTTCAACAGTTCAAGTCAGGACGTCTCAACCCCGGACTTTCGTCGTAATACTATTACAGTGCAAATGACTCTCTCGGGTTGGACGGGTGGGACAGATGATGGTGTCTTGATCGGGTGTGCATGCGCGGTTTTGTTTTTTTAACCCATGATGTATTCCAGGCATCCCCAAACCCGGCACTCCAGCTGTTTTGGGACTACAACTCCCATCATCCCTAGCTACCAGGACCAGTGGTCAGGGATGATGGGAACTGTAGTCCCAAAACAGCTGGAGGACCCAGTTCGATCCTCACCCCCGAAAACCATTCCAACCCACTCGTTTATAATTACGACTAGATCCCAGAGTTCAACTAACAAGTTGTGACTCCTGCTCAGACTTTTGCCACGCGCGGTCCGGAGGCTCCCTGCCCTCCTTCCCTGCCTGGAAACCGGGGAGGACCCTGCCTGCCTGCCGAAACGCTGCGCAATACGCAGCCACTAAAAAACCCCCCCTAAACTGCCCCCCTCCCTCAACGCGCCGCTCTTCCTGAAGCCGGAGCGGAGGAGAAGAAACCCTCTCCAAACACCCGAGCGCGACAACCTCCCCTCTCCGCCGTTGGAGCGAGCCGCCTTTGCGCCTGCGCACACTCCCCGCAGCTCCCTCCGTCGGGCCTTGGCGGCGGGCTCCCTGGAAGAAAAAAAAGGGGGTGGCGCTAATTTGCGGACGTGGCGCCGGCGCCGCTCCGCTGCCTCGGCCGGGGCCTGGCCTGTCAGCGCGGAAATAAGGCGACGCGGCTCCTCGGAGGCGGCCATTGCCCAGACCGGGTCGGGAGGGACAGGTGCCGCTGCCAGTGTGAGGAGCGGCGACCAGTCTGTCACCGTCGAGCCGGCGGCTGAGGCGGGAGGCTGGCATGTCTCTTTCGCGGGCTGCCCCCCTCCACAAAGAGGAGCCCCTTCCTGAGGGAAGCAGGTAGGGTGGAAGGCGGGCCGCTGCGGGGCCCGGAGCTGCCGCCCCAGGGAAAGGGCCCCGCTCTGTCTGCTTCTCTTTTTGCCTCATGCCCCCTCGGTTAGGAGCGTTTGCTTCTCCCGAGGGGTCGGGGGGGGGGTCGGCGGAAGCCCAGCTCGGCCGGTGAAAGAGCCGCCGGTGGGGGTGGGCAGCGCAGTTGGAGCCCTCGGATGCTGCTTTACGGTTGGCCGCCGGGGGCCGGACTAGACGGGCCACACTGGCCTGGCCCAGCAGACTCCTCTGATGCCCTTCATCATGTGATGCTCTGGTCGGGGTGGGTGGGGGCTCCTTAGGCAGCCTCGCTTCGCTCACTTCTGAGGGTCTTCTGGGGGGAAGGCGCTTTTGATGACAACACGTGTTGTTGTTATTTCACTTCGGAATGGGAGGCGAACTAGGCCTTCTGGGTTTTAAGGGTCCTCCTGCACATCTTGCCAAGAGGTGGTCCAAAGTCCAGCCCTCCTGAGTGCTCCACTTCTAGGTTTTGTCAGCTTTCCTTTCTGGACTCAGCTACCTGGGTGTTTAGGATGTGTAGCTTCCAGACCATCATTCAGCAGGTACCACTTTCCCTCCAACTTGTTACTGTTAAAAAGACGCAGAAGGCTGTTAGAAGCAAACTTGGCTTCTTCTTACAGGTCCAAGCCCCACTCCTCTGCCCAATAGGCAAGCTTGATGTAGGGATCCCTATAAAGATAATGCCCAGATAATGTTGATGGGGGTTGGTTAGGAGCTGAGAAGGTGTGTTTCTGTGGTGGGCAGGTGGTTCTTGTATACACTGTAAATCAAAAATAGGATTGCTTTCTACTGAAATACTTTGCTTCTCATATAGATTACTAGATAGTTTCCTTACTTCCAAATATGCAAGTTCAGTGATAGTCTTCATTCTCTGTTCTTCCCTCTCCATCCCTGCAAGCACTGTTGTCTCTCTAGTGTCCATTTCTATTTGTTTTGTTTTCAATTATTAACCTGGAGAATCTGTGCATGCCAAATGGTTTGGTGTTTTTTTTAGGAATATGTGTGGGTTGGCAGCAGGGAGGTGAAATTGTTGTCCTATTACTCATAGGTGTTCTATATAAATTAGTACTTAAGTTGGGGTCCTCTGTTTGACTAGTTGTCCTATTTTTCTTTTTCTTCTGTTAGACTCCTTTTGACAGAATGACAGCAAAAAAACAGAATTTCAGTTTCCAGCTCCCTGCTGTAGTGCAGCCTACAGTGGATAATCATTTGTATACATTTGGGAATGGTATCAGTTCTGACAGTGATGTGCTGGAAGATGAAACGGAGCTGTATGAATTGCGACCCAGGGGAAGGGAGAAAGTCCGAAGAAGTACATCAAGAGAAAGGATTGATGATATCGTATTTATAACCAAGGATATAAAGGAAGGAGACACACTAAATGCAATAGCTCTTCAGTACTGTTGTTCAGTAAGTCTGTATGCAACTTTTCTCAGTGGAATTTTGTGACATGTGAACGCAGAAAGCTTTTAAATTCTTATACAAAAATATTCACTTATTTGCAATAGAAAAAACTTGTTTGACACAACCCAAGATGCATTGTACAGCTTGATTTGATAGATTTGTACCACACTGAAGTGTGCTGTGGAGCAACTACTAGAGTCTTGCATAGGTTTTGGAATTGTATTTAACTTTTACTCAGAGTAGATCCATTAAAATGAATGGGCATTACTAGCTTAGGTATATTAATTTTAAACTAAGACTTAGTGGAATGTAACCCTTGATGGTTTTTGCCTCACTGAATAGGAGTATATTATGGTGCTGCCACAGAAGGTTCCAGAACTTTGTTGGTGATAGCAGGTTGAAAGTTTCTGCTCTTATGTGCAGTGATGTGATAACTTGGTATCAGGATACCCATGCGTGGATGTGCATGCATGTTCAAATGAATCATCATTTGGATCTACAACAACCAAATGGTTGCAGACCTAAATAAACTGGTATGTGTGAGTCAGCACACAATAATTATGTTTCCAAAATGTTTTTTGGATAATGTTTAGTTCTCATGAATTCTAGTCCACTAGGCCCAAATTACATGTTAGAAGAGCCCCTCAGATTACAACTACATTCATTCTTTTAAGTGTAAAAACATATCTTCCGGTGGGGGTAATTGGGGAAAGAAAAGCAGCAAGTCCTACTGTTTTAAATGCAAGTTGCATATAAAATCTTGGGGGTAAGACAAGCAGTGGGTAGGAGCAGGGAAAGGTTTGAACACAGGTCCTTGCTTTGTCTGAACTCTGTTATCCCCAGCAAAGGCTTGAAGGTAATTCCCTTTGACCTTGCTGCCTGGTAAATGGATTTTAGGATTGCAGCCTTAAAGGCTATTGGGCTACAGTTAGCAGCTATTTACATACAGTGCATAGTTTGGAACTTGTCAGTTAAGATATTGCACAAATTAATGTTCAAATATTTTTTTAAAAGGCAGAACCCTCTGGGTGTTTCATATGTAAGCAACCTAAGACACAAAGTTTCTTAAAATATTTTATTCCCTTATTGAATTTTTTTAAGAGAGGTGCATTCCTGAAAACCTGTCCCCTTTCTTAGACTAGGGTAAGTTGCAAGAAGGGCAACACAATTGCCTGTTTTGGAGAAATGTGGTCCCATATCTTTAATCAAGTGACTAACATTGGTTATAGTAGCTGAAATTTCTATAGTATCCCATCAGCTGCTACTTTTATGTTCCTAAGAAGTTCTAAACAACCCCTTATACCATATGGAAAGCTCTTTGTTTTTTAATTGAAAGGCGTTTTCAAAAGACGGTTTGTAATATGTCATGGCAGATGGGGAGTACATATTGTTTAAAGAAAAGGATCTTGAATACAGCTAACTTAGGTTTTCCAGATCCTAGCATCTTGCCAGTTGTGGGGAGTCAAGCACTTTGTATGAGTGGTAATTGGTTTAGATGCATAGAATAGTAGAAACGGTGCTTTACAGCTAGTTATTTAATCAGTTTCATAGAACAAAAATGCTGGTTGTAAAAAAAAATGGATTCTGAAAATCAGAATAACTAAGAGAACTAAATTATTTTTTTCTTAGGCCACAACAGCAGTAACAGGCTTTGGGTAAAGTGCTTACTAGGTGCACATGTGACACAAGGATCACCTTTAGGAACTTTTACCTTGTATGTGTAGTGTTAGCGGGCCAATAACAAGTGCATTTAAATGAGACTGGGTGTATGTGGAACACCTGTGACTTACACAATATCTGGTTTTGCCCTTGAAACATTGGATTACATGTTATGACCGCACATATAGAAAAGGAATAGTCCTCCCTATTAGGAGTTTCTTGAAGCACTGACTCACTCCATGACTTTCCCTGCCCTTCAGGAAGAAGAAAGAACCCCAGAATAGCTCTTTGCCTGGAGAAAAGAGTCATGGTTGGCCCTAGGTAACCCAAACTAGGCTATCATTTTCTTTTTCAGTTGAGTAGTTGACTCTTTAATAACCAATTTCCTCTGCTTCTCTCCTGATTAAACAGTTTAAGCAGAAGAACCATAACAAACAGTACGACAGTATAGTTGGTGGTAAGAAGCCCATTCTAAGTCATTTGATTCACAGGGGCTCATCTTACCATCCTGGGGAGATAGGAAAGGCAAGGTGAGCCAGTGCTTCCAGCCCCCCTCTTTCTTTCTTTTTCTTTGACCTGTTGGGATTAGATCCTTTAGACTCCCGTAGCCTTTCCTACCCACAATCATAACTGGCTGTTTCAATTGCAATAACATGTAGCCAGGCTTTTTGTGCCAATTTATTTTTTAAAAGAAGTTAAACAGTTAGGACTTGGAAAATGAATGCTGGTCACTCAAGAGCTGCCTTTTCAAAAATGCTAATTCTTTCCTTTGTTAACTGTTGTGTTTCAGGTAGCAGATATCAAAAGGGTGAACAATCTTATTACAGATCAGGACTTCTTTGCACTGCGAACTATTAAAATTCCAGTGAAGAAGTTCAGTGTATTGACTGAGACACACAGCTTTCCAAAAAGCAGGCAAGCTTCAAGATCTGCCTCTACTTTGTACTCTACAGAAACCCCAGATGCATCACAAGCTGCTGAGCCATTCTCCACAGAGACTGTTGGTAACTTTCTGAAAGAAGTAGACCGTGATATAGAACAAATAGTGAAGTGTAATGCTACAAAGAGAGAGAATCTTAATGAAGTTGTTTCTGCCTTATCAACCCAACAGTTAAACTTTGAACCAGACGGTAAATCCATAAAGCGGAAAGATCCTCATTATGGAGCAGACTGGGGAATAAGATGGTCAACAGCAGTAGTGATAATGGTAGTGGTGGTAATAATAACTCCTGTTTTTTATCTTTTATACTATGAGGTTTTAGCTAAAGTGGATGTCAGCCACCATTCTACAGCAGAATATACTTCAGTTACATCACCATCTCAGCCCAAACCACTAGAAAATGGAATAAATCACCCTATTTCATGATAACTGAAATTTTTGCTTTACATGCTAAAGTCTTTGGCAATCATTCAATGTGTTCTGCAAAGAAAAAAGAACAACAGGTCCTGTGTGGAGTTGGAAAGTAGCTATCTTTGTGGTGGCATTTAATAAAAACTCTTGCAGAGGGTATGGAAGACATCACCTTTCAATGGAAAAGTTGTTGCCAAGTTCAGTGTGAGATTGTTGATTGAATACCAATTGTCTGGATCTGCCAAAATATGTGGATCTAAGCTGGCAAACTTCCACTAAGTGAAAGTACCTTCATTGCAGCCAGAAAACTATGAAATGGTTTTCTTTAGTCTGGAAGTAAGCTAGCGTCCTGTATTATAAAAGATAAACCATTCTCTTCTAGCATGGAATATAATACAAATCACGAAGGTAGGGGTTTAAAACAGTTTAGCTTATCAGATATGCAGAACAAGTACAATGCTCTGTTGTTGATCTAACATACACTACATGGACTATGATATTTACAGTACCTTTTCATGAGAAAAGACCAATGAGCCATGAGACTAAACTGCACTTGGCATGCAAACATCTGTAACAGTGTACTGATACTGTTACTACTTTTAATAACAGCTTTGGGAGGGCAAAAGCTGTTGAGCAAGGAAGGATATTCTTAAACCATTCCCTACTTGTAATCTTTCTGCTTCCAAGCGACCCCCCCTAAGTGCTGTTACTATTGAAGAGTTCCAAAGGTGCAAATGTACATGTAATTTGGTGCAGGAAAGTGGCAATGTCTTCTCCCCTACCCTTTAAATGAAAAGGCATTGGAACCCCAGTGGGTACTTTTTGTAGGGAACAGTTACCTGGCGTGAAAAGAGGTTTTAAGCCTTGCACCAGCTCTGGGACTGCTAGGGATGCTCTCTTTCCCCCTCACCTGCAAGGTGGCTCCAGGACTTTGACTATGTGTGAGGCTTGCATATATCCCTAACCCTTGGAAGCGAACCCCTGTGTAAAATGAGGGATTACTCATACAAACATGTGACTCACATGTCTAAACTGATTTTTATTGCAGTAAACAGGGCTGTATCCAGTGTTAATAATACTCCAAGTAAACCATTTGAAATTGATTGAAATTGCATTACATTAATTAAGGTGGATCTGCCCTGAGTAGAATGTCACTGAATAAAACCATTACTTAATGCACTTGACTACATGGAGTCAGCTAACGGCCCCCTAAATTGTTTTCCTCTAGCAAAAAGGAAATATTTATGTTCTTATGCAAAGCATACTTAACCATGAAACCATGATGCCTTCTCAAGTCATATTAACCTGCAAAGTTGGAGTTTTGCTAATAATAATACTAAAAGGCAGAGAATCAAGCTAACACAAGTTGTTGAGAAAAATAGAAGCCAGGTTTTTTCTTAAGCAGTTCTTGGTTATTTTGAAGAAATATATTCTAGTATTCTAGTTTAAAAGTTCCACAGAGAACTCATGCAGTAGAAAAAATGGCCAAGTATTAAAAAAAAACTGCTAGTTGGGACTACAGTAATTGAAAATTAGTGAAACACACATTCCCATAATCCTAATTTAATATGCCCCTTATTTATACATAAATGTTTCCCTCTTTTTTTTTAACAGTAAGAAGTATGCTGCCAGCCTGTGCAATACATAAGTTTGCTTCCGCATATTTTTAGATGTGTCTTCTAGAACAGGATTTTGGCTGCAATCTGAAGCTTCCCATCTTTTCCTGGCAGTAAGCACCACAGAATTCATTAGGACTTACTTCTGAGTAGACATGGTTCAGATTGTCATGTTAGTGTATTTACATGACATGTAATGCTAAAGTGTACATCATGTATATGGGGTAGAACTTTGTAATCTCAGTCTCCAACTCCAGCCTGAACAGAAGGCCAGTCCACTTGTGCATGGACATATGCAGCAGGAATTCCAACAGGCAGGACCAATATCTAAAGAAAGTATTCTTCAGGCTAGAATACAAGTTTGGCACTTAAACTGTCATAATAGAATGCCGCCACACATCTTCACATCTAGTCACTATAACTAACGGCTCACTCTTAAATTCTCAAAAGCAAGTTACTGCTTTATATACACTCGCTAGAGAACTTGATAATGAGCTGATTATGATTCATGCAGTATCTAAATCTCAGCAAGTTTTTTGTGTATGAGAAAGCTTCTTGGACTTGATGTTAAGGAGGGCTGGGCAATATCTGGTTTTAAACATCACAATATATCACCAGCTAAACATCGCAATATAACAATATATCACAGTGTCTGAAAAAAGGATGGAGCTGTGCAGAGGTATTGGCTGGCTTCATGGTTTTTCCCACGTAATTTTTGCATAGCACACACATATACATCATGATTCACAGTATATTGCCAGGTCAAAAACTATGAAACAGATATCATGATATGCACTTCCAGCTGGTTTTGGATGATATATCAATATATCGCCCAGCCCTAATGTTAACTATTCATTCCTTTAGATTTTCTAGGGTGTATCCATATATTAGGACAGACCATAAGAAGAAGAAGAAGAAGAGGAAGAGTTTGGATTTGATATCCCGCCTTTCACTCCCTTTAAGGAGTCTCAAAGCGGCTAACATTCTCCTTTCCCTTCCTCCCCCACAACAAACACTCTGTGAGGTGAGTGGGGCTGAGAGACTTCAGAGAAGTGTGACTGGCCCAAGGTCACCCAGCAGCTGCATGTGGAGGAGCGGAGACGCGAACCCGGTTCCCCAGATTACGAGACTACCGCTCTTAACCACTACACCACACTGGCTCTCAAGAAAACTATTTGGAGTTAATTATGTTGGCTTCGTGTATAATTGCTTTCATAGAATTAAGTTTTAGTGCTGTGCCCTTGGCTTTTCTGCATGGCCACTCTAAGATATAACCCTTGAAACAGTGTTTCTGTGTGTTCTGGAAACTGGTAGTGAACAGTGTCCTCTTAACATTACCCATGGTCCTATATATAAAGATCCTTCTGAAAAAATACCTGTCTTGAGTTTAGCTGCAGGGAAATGTTTGTTGCATCAAGTGAGTTTGTGTGCTTTTTGATGTTGGACAAGGAAAATTTTATGTTGGCTGCAGGGAAATTAAGAGCCAAATCTGTGGTTGAACTCTGAATGTCTTTTTTTTCTTTGTTATGGTTTATAGCTGAACAAGTAAAGGTGTTGCTTGACAATATATAGTTGTAGTAAAATATTCACATGTGTGAAATGATGGCAGCAGAAATCTTTATTATATAGACTCTTTATTTTTCAATAAAAGCCACAGAAGCAAGCTATTTACAACTTATTTTTAAAGTTTGGTTGTAATGTGGTAAATAGCCCTTATTTTTAAAACTGTGCTATGGAGTTCCAAAAACAGAGTATGTTATTTGTAGGAAAGATACAAGGTTTAAAATTTGAACAAAATCTCTGAGGTATAGGCACATTCATCAGTTGCAGGAAAAACATCACTGGCCCAGCTCACGTGCCATGCTAAAACATTCTCTTAGTGTTATGCTCAAGTGGGAATCATAGTTTGTTTCACACCAAACAAACCACAATTGGTAAGCCAATAACAAATTGTAGTTTGTCTGAAGTGAAACCAACCACTATCCTTGCTTTGGATGTAAGGCCAAGTGATCAGAGTTTGTTTTTTGGAGCAGCCAAGATTGGTGTGTTCACAGTCAACCATTAATTGTGGATTGCGATGATGTGTGAATGATTCCAAAGTCCTATGGGATTCTAAATGCTTAAAAATTTATTATAGCGGAAGCTTTTGTGGACCACACAGTTAATGTTATCAGATTCACGAAGCATTATTCTGAATTACTAGTATTCATCCCTGGATGTGGTTGCTCTGTTTTATTGTGACTCGCTTATGGAACAACACCAATGCAGTTGCTTTCTGCATGTGTTATTCCACTTTTTCTTTTAATGAATTTATAAGAACAGGGGTGCTTAGCCATCTGGTTTTGTGTTTTAAAGCTCCCTTACCACCCTTAATCATGCGTGAAAATATCTGAGATGTACTTCATGAAATTCCTCAGTTCCCCATGGGAAAGCTGTGAATTTCATTGTCTTTAAAAGAAATGGAGAAAAAAATATCACTATCACTATGCAGCCCAGCACTGTATATTACCCCTTGGATGCGTGGCTGGGTTTGGACTGTTTTGATGTGGCGTTGGGTGTAGCATCTCTTGAGCTTATCATCCTCCTGGATTAGAATGAGGAAACAATGGAATGTTGCTTTCAATAGGGTATTTATTGGAAGAGGGTCATCCCCATTCATATTCCGCTGCAAGTAGTCACACAAATACGATTTTTTTCTATTTGACTATGGCTGGATCACAGTTGATGTGGGCAGCAAAAAGAGACAAGAGCAGCATAGCAGGATCCATACAACTGGATAGACTGCTTCATCTAGCGAAGAACTATATCTTAGGTGACCCCGGCGACTGTTATACAGGCCTTTAAAAAAAGACACTCTAAGCCACTAGCTCAACTTTTTCTGACCCAGGATCCACCTTTAACCCAAGCATAAATTTAGGGGCTAATTAAATTTTTTTTTTAAAAAAAACCATATATTTGTATGGTGGTGGTAGTGGTACTCTTGCAACCCATCTTAGATCAGGCTGTAACCTATAGCGGTTCCTGACCCACCCACTGAAGATCAGTGCTCTAAGCAATCAGTTTTGCATGTGAATTCAAATGAAATGACCTGAGGGAATGGAAAACTGCAGGAAAAGAAAGTTGCAGATGTGCCACTTCTGAATTTTTTTGGGGGGGGTGGGGGGGTTAAAGTGTTGGGTAAAGTGGAATACCAAACACAGCCAAGTGTAGAAGAGTTCTAAACATAAAAGGGGAAATTATAGACCTAACTAGATAGATTTATTAAAATTCTCTGTCACTTTTTAGATAAAACTTGCAAGGCAGCATGCAGTAAAATTTCTAAACAACCTACACTTGAACTGTCTACACATCACAAAGACTGGTTGGTGTACCACAGCTAAATCATTTTTGTGGTGATAATTTGAACTGAGGCATCTGAAAAAGTATTGTCAAATAGTGAAAATAATAATCAGCATAGTATTATGTACCAAAAATACTACCTTGGACTTTGTTATAGCTCAAGGATCTGTGCCTTATTTCTGCAATTTAACTATGCTAAACCTGTTTCTTTTGTGAAAAAGTGAATAGTGCAGTCATGAAATCGAAGGTCTGTTGAAATATCACAATGAGGACCTGCTTGTTTTATTAAAGACACTGATTTATTTTCTGTGTATGGGTCTTAAAGTAGCTTTAAGAAAAAAAGTATGTTAAAGCACTTAATATGTGCTGTTGGTGTATGTATTTCTCTTTTCAAAAACAATGTGGCAGAAATGAGTACTTTGTAATCATGTGTGGTGAATCTATGGTTTGGCAAGGATAGAAAAAGATAATCTAATGTTCCACAAAATGGATTATTGGATTATTATTATTATTTTACTGTGCATTCTAGTGGTTCCTATTGACAAATCTAGCTCAATACTAAAGTTGTCCAAGCCTCAGTTATTTCAGAGGGGACTTCTGCCTACATACTTAGTGTTACAGTAGTAAATTTTAAGAATTCTACCAAAAAAAGAGAGAAAAATATTTAGAATATGGTCACCAGATTTCTAAATACAATCCATGGTTAAAGAGGGAAATTGGCTCCTAATCTGCGTATTGTACTATGAAACCACGTGAAATGTTTTTACCCCTGGATTGGTTATTCAAAGGAACACTGCCACAAATGTTATTTACATAATTAAGCCGTTTATAAAAGTTTTGGAATTTATAAGATCCTTATGGCAAGAATATATTTTCTTTTTGAATTCTTAATTCCAGAAAAATACAAATAAAGAAATATATTTTTAATCCTGTTTAGTGATCAATTGTTGTACCCTATGGATATTCCACACTAATCCAAAAAGCTGCTTTAGCTACAGCAAAGGATTTTGGCATGCCCATTTCTATGTTCTACTGTGAAAAGCAGACTCCAACACATCAGAGGTGTCAAGAGGGGATTCTTCTGCAACATGTTTCTTGTGCAGCAGATCTCCTAGTCCAAATTTTATTTCATTGTTGATTTAAGGTGTTTATATATACACTACTGTTTTTCAGGCACACCCTGAAGCAGTGTGAAGCAGTTTACATAAGATTACAACACTAAGCATTGGGTTTTGATTTGTTTTTAAAAAGCTACAATGGAAAAGACAACAACAACTGTATTTTGGAAAAGTACCTGGGATGACATTTGGAAAAGGGAGGGGCCACTACTGGAAGCTGGATGGTAGGATATATGGAATTAATTGTGCTTCTTTAAAAAAACCCTTTTAAGCAGGGATATAAGAAGTACTATTACTATTACTATTATTTTATTTACTACCATAATGTTTCTTGGAAGCACTGCAAGACTGTCATTGTTGGTGAACTTTTATCAGACATCAAATAAATCAGTTCTTGCTATTTGAGTTTTGGTTGTCCTGTAACTGAACTAGAAGTTCAGTAAGCATTTTTATATTATTATTCAGGTGGCCTTACCAAGTACTGTTTATCCAAAGCTCTTGTGATGCTGCAAGGGGGCAACCCTTTATTAGAAAGCAAGCTAACCTGCAACTGTATTTTATCACACACTACTACACCAGATCCTGTTTTCAGTAAACAGTTTTTATTATTTAAAGGCTAGATTTTTATACTTCAGTGCACACATTTCTCTTCCTTCCCCACAACATAGTTTCATAAGCAGTGCAAAGTGATATGGTACTCTGCACAGGCTAGCTCAGTGTTATGTTGTCAGGCACATAACATTTCTGCAAATTAGTTCAGGATAACAAAGCATGGTCTATATAGGACACATCTGAGTGCTTTAGCATGCCGCCAACACAATCTACCATTCCATCAATTGGAAGTGAATATATAGCTGCTTCGAATATTGAGTCAACATACTCCCATATTGCAGCAAAATGAGAGTTAATCATCATGGTTAATCCTCTGAAATTACATTATTTCATAACTAGAGGTAACTCAAGTGCGTGTTCAGACTTTCCAGCTGTATTTCCCAGCTACTCAAAACAATTTCAGTAAGTTGCTTCATCCATGTCATCATCACTGCCTGCTCCATAGTCATCTCCATCTTCAAAATAGGAAGCAATATAGTCGTTCTCCTAAAGGAAATAATAGTAGATACTGTAAATTGCTACGTGCAAGAAGTACAGTCGCAGATACTTCCTTGTGTTTATATCAAACCTTATGTAACTGGCAGAAATCAATATTACACATGCAGCAAATAAATATAGATCCCAGTGAAACATGTGCTAGTAGTTGAAGGCAAAGTGATTATAAATATAAATGCTTGTGTTAACAACACATCTAATTTAAATGTTTTTCAGTCACTTTTTACATCCATGCCCTCCATTCCTAAATGAATTTTCCTTGGTAGCCAATTGATTTCAATGTAATGTACTTTCAATTAAGTGTGGTTAAGACTACGGCCATAAAGCATTATCAGAAGTGACACGAAAAGCAACCCCCCCCAATCCTTCTGTTGACAATACAATATACAGTAGAAAATGGAAGAAAGCTGCTTTAAAAAGTAAACAAGATACAGATTGATATGGTTCTTTCATTTGGTTCTGCAATGAAAATACATATTATTGTTAACTGTAACATAAGGTGCGAGGAATGGAAACATCTTATGGAAACACCATACTACTTACGATGGGGAATCTGCAGCCCTTCAGATGTTACTGTACTCCAATACCCATCAGCCCCAAGCAGCATGCACAATGGCCAAGAAATGATGGGAGCTGTGGTTCAGCAGCGTTCAAAGAGCCACAGGTACACCAAGTTTATTGTACTTGCCCCAATCATGTATAATGTCAAGAAAATAATTATTGCCACCATCTTGGTCTCTACATAATTTTATTTGTTAAGAAAACCAATACCTCTTCGTGCTCTTCTTCCTCATACTCCTCTGGCTCTCCCTCCTCCTCTTCCTCTTTATCTTTTTCTTCCTCATCTGACTTTTCTTCGTCTCCTTTCTTTTCTAGCTCCTGGGAAAGGTTAGCAAGATGTCTGTCACATCATCTGAACTTCCAGCTAAGTTTTTTTTTTATTCTTGCTGGTCAAATAATGAACGGATAGGTGAACTAAGCAAAGAACTCAAGGAGTTCAAAAGGATTTTAGAAATAGCATGATTATGACATAATTCTTGGACATAACTGTGATTTAATTTCATCTCATCACATGCTACTTATTTTCCAAATGGGGAATGAATAATCCTTAACAGATTTGTGGTATCCCTTTCCAAAGTCCCTTACTCAAGGATCAGGAAAAAAATATGAATTACGAGGAAGCACACCCAGTGGAAAATCCAGAAACCTTACAATTTAGATAAGAGAAAGTGGCTTAGTCAAACTTAGGGTAGACCCACTGAAATCAATAGTGCTTAAAATACTGAAGCCATGATTTCAATTGGCTGGCTTCAACACAATGGTTTGTGTTCAAATCTTTAAAAAAAATATTTTTTAATATTTGAACATGCTAGTTGGTGGTTGTTTTTTATTTGCCATTCTGTCACATAGCATAAAATTGCTCAAGGCAACCATCAGTTAAGGCAAACAAGAACTCCTTGCAGTTATGCAAAGGTGCCCTAAATTATGCACAAGTTTGTCATTCCCCCCAGCCCAATGAGTTTTATAGAGCCTAATCTACTTTTTACATCACTGTTCACAGTGGAGACATACAAGCAATAGTGACTACTGCTAAATAATAAAACCTAAGAAGGTAAAGCAGAGTAAACTCTACCTCTATCTTTTTCAAAACATCCACATTAGCTTTTGGCGTTGCAGTTTTTGCTTTCTTTGGTTTTCCACCTGCTGAAGAAAAATCCTCTTACCTTAATACTCTTCAAACGCAGTTATAACAAACTTTACTCATTATGGAAGTGAAAAAGCTCCCTGTTTGCAAAGAATGAATCAGGAAGAATTTACTATACCAAGAACCAAGTTCTCCTGTGGAAATCCCAGGAGTAACTTCATTTGTGTTAGAATTGGGAAGGAGGTGTTAATGACACACACACACACACACACACACAGAGAGAGAGAGAGAGGGGGGGAGACAGAGAGAGAGAGAGAGAGAGAGGGAGAGAAAATAACAGTGTAACTTACCTGACAGTGGCAACTTTTGTCAAATGCTTGTAAATTTCAGGATTACCAGATCAATCCCTTGCAAAAGCAAATGCCTGTTATTTTAAGGTTTCGGTTGTGTGTGTTTTAAAGTATTCTCTTCTCTTTTCTATGATCCAACAACCAATCACCCCTTTCTCATTACAATTATAGCACAAAATAAGGCATACTGAACAATATTGTTGGTCAACAGTCCAAGAAAATATTTTTACTCCTAAGAGGCATGTTACTTAATATTACTTAATATACATGTTACCTTTTTCAGTCTTCTTCTTTGGTTTCAGCTCTCTTGGGAGTCTTCTCCAGTCTTCACAACAGATATATTCAAGTTTTAGTTATTTTTAATAGTTTATGCTCCTTCACGTTAAAGGTATTTCTATGACCAAAGACATTTTATTCAGAACAGTAGCAAGACTTTCCCATCCTGGCGCTTGCCAGTGGAGATCATGGGGACTGTAGTCCAACAATTCAGGGGCGTAGCGTGGAGGGAACGGCCCCAGGCACATTTTTCTGGGGGATCCTGCTCATGCCATCGTTCCAGCCCTGTGCCGCTTTGCAAGGATGGGATCGGATTTGAATGATTTGCTGGGTGAATCATTTCAGATCAGATCCCAGCATCGTAAAGCAGTTTGAGGGTGGCAGGGTGGCGTGAGACAACCGCAACAGCCATGCGCCCTTCGATCGCAGCCTTACAAACTGAGGCCCAAGATGGCGACTGGTGTCTCAGTTCCAGCTATCAAGCTTCTGTTTGAATGTGGATAGTATTATTACTTGAGAACTGGCAATGCTGAGAAAAGGGAATGGCAGAAGTTTGATATGTGAGGTATTTACTGAGAAATATGGCCCTCAGTATTTTGTACCTAGCTCAAGATGCACATTTTGACTGAGAAGACCCGAAATGACTCAGGGGAGTCAACATATACTAGACCAGGGAGGAGGAAACTTGTGCCTCTCTGACTGGTGCTTAACAAAAACTTCCTTTATCCATGACCACTGCCCATGCTGACTGAGTCCCACAAGTTCACTAGCCCTGCTCTAGACAAACTCGGCCTCACCACAATTACAGGCCCTCCATCTTTCAAATAAGTGTGACAAAGGATTGTATTGTACTCCTGAGGGACCTCTGGGAAGCAGTCCTTTCTCTGGGAAGATGTGAAAATATGGGAATGAGTCTATCAGCTCTGAATGAGTATTTGTGGTTGGTTGAAGTGGAAAAGAATTCTAGGTGTAAATGCACTTTTAAAAGAATACCACTCAGCTCTGGGTGAGATGTATTTATTTAGGTTTACATTTTTTACTAGCTGAATAGCACAGAGGAACCTAAAACAAACAATGAACCAACCAACCAACCAACCAACCAACCATGAAATGGGTTCTACATCTAAATACTGGAAAACAATGGAAAATTCTATGCCAAAATTAACTGGAATTTACGTTTCCTTACCTGGGGTCCATTCTAGGTCCTTTTCATTCATCTGCAGGTATTTTTTGCTGTATCTTTCAACAGGTACAAAACCTGAAGACAAAAACCTAGAGTTGTCAAATATACATACTATAAATTCAGACAAAGCCAATGCAGAACCACAATCTATATTTAGTTAAAATGCACAAAGGACTATTTTCGGGGGGGGGGGAGGGAATCCCTCTTCTGCTTTGCTCACGATAACATATTTGTGCGTTTATTTTGTATAAGGCTCTCAAGAAAAATCTTGGGGATTTTATGGGGATAACCACCTTCGTTTGAAGGATTTGGATCACATCACAAACAGAACTAGAAGACGGGTTAGAAAATGTCCAGATCGGAGGGGTACAGATTCAATGGCACCTTAACATTGTTCTTCAAGAAATTACTGATTGCACCCTTAGTTACACAGGATTAATTCTATTACAGAAAAATTTGCATGCGCAATACTTTCCAGAATAAAACAATATTGCAAACTAACCTTCACTTTCATTCTTTTTGGTCATAAAATACGGCATCCTTTTCATTGCCCCTCTGAGCTCTTGTTTTAAAGCCAAAAGGTAATCCGCATCCTCTCCCGTTTTCAGTGGTATTGGTTTGTAATCTGTTGTCTATGAAAATCACACATATTGGGTTGTATTTAATTGGTAGCTTTGTACTAGTGGAAAGCACTTTTGCTTGTGTAAGGTGAAACACTCTCTTCTTCATCCAATCCCTGCTACATATTACAGCCATTGCATCATATCCTGTCTTGTTCCAGAGGGGCTTCCAACTGCAAGAAAGCAACTTTTTTGGGGGGGGAGTGGTAGGGGCTGCAATGAGTCAGAGAGATTGGCAAGGATCAGTTGCCCCTCCTTGTGCAAGTGTAAGTGCCTTCCAACGTCATTACTCCAACTGCAAAATAGAGTTTTATACTGTTCTCTCTCTCTCTCTCCCTCTCTCTCAAAAGAACTCACATAACCTTTTTTTATTTCATAGGAATCTTCATAAAATGCTTCTCCAGCAATGACAGGAGTACCGGAGGGTACAGAACACAAAGTGCTGTGACATCTTTAATTACTGTCAAAGAACAGCAGCTAAAAACCCTGGGCACTTTTTATACCAGAAGCCCAAGTGCACGCTGGTTTGGTAATCTAAGAGAAATAATTCAGTCAACACACACACACAAATACGCCAGCACCTGGAGAGCCACTACCAGTCAATGTGGACAGTACTGAACCAGATGGACTAATGGCCTGACTCAGTATAAAACAGCTTCCTGTGTTCTTGTCTAGCATCACCTTCACTAAGTTTAAGCCTAAAGGCTTGGCCTATTGTTTTCCAATATTAGTCTACCAGCAATAGGATTAACTACGGACTTGGCATTTTCTTGCTCTTTTTATCTGGCATGCAAGTGCAACACTTCACCCCAACGGCAACTTGTGGTTTGAAATTCTGGCTGCTTGCTAGATACTTACAGGATATAGCGGAGAAGGCCCAAATACTGCTTCAGGTAGCGCTTCACCTTTAACAAAGCCAATTGCTGCAATGTCAAAGGTCAAGGCAGCACGCCCTCTTCCTCGGCCTGACCTGGCCATATCAAATTCCTGAAAAGAATACCTTGCATTTAATATTTATTCTTGTTCTGCAGAGTATACACAGAAAATATGAATTTTCTTTTTAAAAACAAATAGCCACCACAAGAAGTAACTTGAAGAAACACATAATCCACTTTTGCTATTAATTATCATGCCAGTCGTATTAATAAAAAAGCACAAACCAAGTGCAGAACCTGCAGTCGGTGGGGTTAATTAGGCCTTGCTGTACAGCTGACAGGGCCATTTGGCAAAGCCACACCCAGCTGCCATATGACATCAGCAGAGCTGTCTTAAGCATATGCGGTGCTGAGGTGCAAAGACCCGCCCGGCGCCCCCCAGGTTGCCCAGTCCCAGGCATCCAGGAAGGCGGAGCCAGCCAGCTACTTCAGTGTCTCGCTGGCTCGGTTGGCCCCGAACTCGAGGTGCAGAGCTGCCTGCAGCAATAGAGCCCGCCACGGCGCTCTGACCAACGGGCGGGCTTTTCCTCGGACTCAACTCTCAGGCCCTGGACTTTCAGCCCGCTGCCCCTGAAAGCCCGGCGCCCGGCTGCTCCGTACCCCTAGCGCCTATGGGTAAGAGGCCCTGGACATCAGGTAAAGGACACGTAACAATGTGGCCCAGCCAAAAGAAGGTTTGCTGGCACTGCTTATCCTTGGTACCCCAAGGAATCTTGGCAGGAACAGCAGTTTTCTTCCCCTGCCCAGTCATTTTCAGGAATGCAGCCCCTTCCCCCAGTGCAAGCCAATGCCTCCCATTTCCATTGATGCACATGGAGCAGAAGCATCTGGCAAAATGGCTAATGGGGAAGCACGAAAGCAGGTTTCCTGCAAATGACCCTCAAGGAAATATGGTCCTTGCTGGGAAATGGGGCAGAGTTTTACCCCTCACCAGCACTTTTGAGGAGTGCAACCTTTTTCCAGGGTTGTGGCTGGTCTTCCTGCTGTGGGAAAAAAGACAGATAAAGAGGCGATGATTGGACAGTGTCATGTGCATGCCCAGTAAGAAACGAGTGAATGAAGCAGGGCTAAATGCCTAATGGGGAAGCACTCCATGTCCCATTGAACCAAACTGATTTTGCTTTAAATAAACATGCATGGAATCAAGGTACATGGAATACACATGTACTCAGAAATAAAAATCCCACTATCCAGCTTCATATCTCCAGATGAGGTGTCACAGATAAAAAATGAGACTCTTGATGCTCCTTTCACTCTCCCCACCTTATGCACTGATGAAACCTTATCTCTGCCTGTTGTATACTAAACTGATCACAAAGCCATCCTTAAGAATGCTTCATCTCACAATGCGCCTATCTGCAATTCAGTACAGCAACATTTGCTGTTGGTGGTGGGATAGAGAAACCACACACTGGCTTTACAGGACCAGACACTGGAGCAGCCTTCCTCAACCATAGGTTCTCCATAGGTTTCAGACTACAACTCCCCTCAATCCCAGCTAGGGCCAAGATGCAGTTGCCCCTTTCCCCTTCCTTCTACAATCATAGAGTTGGAAAAGTCTCCTCAGGGTCATCTAGTCCAACCCCCAGCAAGGCAGGAATCTCTTGCCCAACAGCTGGAACCCAAGACCCTGAGATGATGAGTCTCACGCCCAACCGATTGAGCTACCTCACGAAACATTTTTTTATCATAAGAGTGTCAGTGCATTAGGAGGAACAGACAAAACAAAAATGAATAGGGGCAGCTGGAGCATATGGGATTGGGACTCACTTCCCCAGGGTGCGCGCTTGGAACTGCACGAGATAGCCCCAAACGAAGCTGCCGCGAGCAAACGACCCTCCTTCGACTCTCACGAAATATTTTAAAGGGGGAAGCATCGGGAGAGCCGTGCCTCTTATTCAGCAGCACGTCAAGCACCATCATCGCACTGCATCTTCAAAGCCCAGTTGCAGCCGCCTTCTCGCAGCCTCACGCCTCTCCGCTCCGGCCCTGCCAGGCCGCTCCTCCTGCAGCCTCGCCTCGCCCAGCGCGCCATCCCCGGCCCGCCTGCTCGCGTGCCCGGCGTCGGGCTACCGCAGTGGGCAGGGACGGGGCGGAGACCTCTCGCTCGCTGGCTCGCTCGCCCGAGCACGTCCCGCTCAGGCGCCTCCGTCCCCGCCTCCTCCTCGGGCTCCGCCCCAGCTCCGCGCTCGGCTCGCAGCGCGAGAGGCGCTGCAGGCGGCCCGGCAGGTCGGGGCTGCTGCGTCGGCGGCGGCGATGTCGGCGCTGGAGTGGTTCGCGCACAAGTCCCTGGGCGGAGGCATCTACTGGATCCAGGAGCGCTTCTACGAGTCGGGCAACCGGGCCAACATCTGGCTGGTGCGCGGCTCGCAGCGGGACGTGGTGATCGACACCGGCCTGGGGCTGCGCAGCCTCCCCGACTACCTGCGCTTGGCCGGGCTGCTGGGCGCCGAGGGCGACGAGAAGGCGCTTCTCCCTCCCGAGGGCGCCGCCGGGCGCCCCAGGCCGCTGCTAGCCGTGGCCACCCATGTGCACTTCGACCACGCCGGCGGGCTGCACCAGTTCGACGAGGTGGCCGTGCACAGCGCCGAGGCCCGAGCGCTGCGCCGCGGCGACAACTACGAGACCGTCACTTGGCTCTCGGACAGCGAGGTCGTGCGCCAGCCCAGCCCGGGCTGGAGCGCCCGCCAGTTCCGCGTGCGGCCCGTGCAGCCCACGCTCGTCCTGCAGGAGGGTGAGTAAAGGAGCACGGCGGGCGGCGATCGGCTGCCCAACGCCCGTCCGGGGCAACGCCAGGCTCCGGGGCCTCTTTGGAAGGACGGAGCGCGGCTCTGCGACGTCGGGGTGGAGAAAAAAAGGAAAAGAAAGAAAGAAAAAGCACCTCTGGCCATGCACAGAGGGACTTTCTCACACACCTCCAGGGAACCGTCTGGGACTTGCGGGACTGCAGGCGGGCCGGGCGGGCAGGTTTGAATTGCAGCAGCTTGACTCGGGCCTCGCCTCGGGTGTGCCTGCAGAATGGCACCGATTCCCCTCAACTTAGTTAGAAAGTTTCCCATTATTTGCAACGAAGGCAGTTGGAGTGGCAAATGTCTATGTGGTATGAATTGCCCCAAGTGTCTCCACCTCTCGTGTATAGTTAGCAAATGTGCTTGTGTATGTCACGAATATTAACATTGTCCGTTGCATTCTATATGTAATTATATTGCTCATGTTGCTATAGGTGCTTCATAAATACTCAGGGCTGGCGGTGGATGTGTGTTTGGGGTCTGTTGCGGAGAATGACAGGCGGGGGCGTCGGCTCCAGTATACAAGAGAATGTGTAAAGGGAGGGGTTTTTTTGAATGCCCTGGACCTATGTATACAGAGAGAGCAGAATCAGGGCTGTTCCTTCTTTGGCTTCACCTCTCCGGATGTGTAAAAGGGCAGTTCTGAGCTTCGAGAACGGAGATTTCTGGGATAAACTAAAGGCATAGCTTCTCTTGATGGGCTTTGAGATGCCTTAGGAAAGAAAACGTGTAGCAGGGGTATGGAACTGCTGGTAGGGTGGAGAAAGGAGTTGGAAAGGGAGTGTTTTTTGTTTTACATGGATTTTGTAATGGGTAGACACTTTTTTCAAATGCTTGATAAAACAGAAGCAAAAGCCTGTAGCCCACCCTTTCCCTTTTTATAGGGAAGGAAAGAGAGAGAGAGAACCAAGGATCTTATAACCCTGCTCTTCATTTTGTGGCCCCCCTCGCTCTGTGTGTGAAATGTGGGGTGTGGTATCTTCTCCTTTAAGGTTGAGCATCCATTTATGCAGGAGTTGTGGGCATCTGGTAATATCCACGCATGTGGATATATTTTAAAGGGCAAACCAGCATGAATATGCACTGTGTCTGTGAATGAGAGAGTATGGGTGGAGACATTTCTAGTAGCTCCTGAAAAATACGTAGGAGGTGGTCTTAGGCATTTGTAGATGTTTTTGCTATCCATAATGAGTTTTGAAAAAACAAATCCCCAGTAGCAGATGCAAGCTTAGCCAGCAGATATATGTAGGAATAAGAATCTACACTGGAGGTTATCACTTGGGGGGTGGGGTTGGAACTAAGCCACAGCCTTAGTTTATGGCATGCTTTCTCTCAGCTGGTATACATCAGTCCATGTACAATTCTATTTTTATATAAAATATTACTTTATATATACATATTGATCTAAATTAATTAGTAAAGAGAACAGATAAACAGAACTCTACAATTCTACAATTCCTTTTAAGCACTACCCCAAAGTAACACTCTCTGATAATAATCTAACAGTCCTGTGCATCTTTACTCAGAAGTAAGTCCTACAGTACTTAGTAGGGCTTGTTTACTAATAAGCATGCTGAGGATTGCAGCCCAAGTCATTGTGATATACAATTTCATATCTTAACTACAGTTCAATTATGTTCTTGTCTCTAGCTGTCCTATTAATTAGCTTGGTTTCCCCTCTCAAATGTACATGTTATATAGCAGGGATGGGGAAGCCTTGTGACACAAGGCAAATCAGATCTCCTTTCCATCTGTCTTTTCAAACCCCACCCCTATCACATCTATTATTTTAGACTGGCTTGGGGTAGGAAAATCTCAGGCCCAGCAGCTGAATGTAGCTCTTCAGGACATATCAAGTCCTTTGACCTGGCTGGACCACATCCCTGAAGTGTCATAATGCTGTTTGCTTGGAGGGATGGAGGATGCAGAGATGTTTGAGGGGGCTGTAGAAAACTCTGTTTTTTGAACAGCTGTGCAAAGCAGTCTGCGGTTGTAATACTTGTTTTTCTCAAAATTTATCTTCTGTACCATGAAAATAAATAAAAACAGAAAAAAATGTCCCCTCTGTTGCTCTGCCTGCTTTTACCTCCAGCCCCAACTACCAATGTTACCCATGGAGGAGTGTGGCGATTGGCTTGAAAAAACGGTTTCCCGTCCAGACTCTTTGCTTGTTTTTAAAGCCAAATCTGAAGCAAAAGGACAGAGCTTTGGCTTGAATGCAGACACCAAAACTAAGAGTTGAGGGCCCCTCTGCTCCTCCCCTCCTGTTAAACAAGTATTGGGTGAAGACGGCATAAGAACAAAGAGTGTTACTTGGCTTCCAGTCTCCTCACAAATTTTATATAGAAATTTATGAAGCTGCCTTGCTGTAGTTTGGGCTGTTGGGCCACCAAGCTCAGTATTGCTGTGTTTTGCACATAATACTAAGCCATGGTTTGTTCAGCAAACCACAAGTTGTCTAACAGATAAGCAAAAAAACCCACAGTCCCCCCCCAAAAAAATATGGTTGGTTTGTTGCCAGAAAACAATGGTTCGTCTGCTAAATAAACCATAGTAAGGGCAGGGAACTAATGGTCCACAGGCCAAATTTGGCCCACCTTGCCTCCCTATATGGCCAGTGAGGCTGTGATTGCGATACCACACCCAACTGCCCCACACCTGACATCATATGTGACATCAGGTTTGGGGAATGTAAAGACATGGCCTGTCTTCCCCATAACTATCATGGTGACTTCCCACCCCACCCTCGTAGGCCAAGTTTGACAACTAGGCAGGGTGACCCACCTATCGATCAGCTGATATTATGACACCTGATGATTGATAGGTGGGTGGTACTGACCACCTATCAGAATTGGCCCACGGGCTGGATAGAAGATAAAGATCTGACCCACTGAGCTTAAAAAGGGCTCTCATCCCTGGCTTGGTGCTATGTATGAACCAGGCTACTTACTGACTAGAAGCAAATCACTGGTTTTAGATGGGTCTTTCCCAGCCCTTCCTGGAGATGCCAGCAATTGAACGTGAGGTCTTTTGCATGCAAAGGATGTGCTGCACTATTGCCCTACAGCCATTTTCCCCAAAGGGGAGGCGGGGATGCCAGGAATAAATAAGGTATCTGTGTGTGCCTTAAGTTATATTTAATAATGTATTTGCAGTGTTCAAATGTACGTATTACCGTGTCCATGCTTAGTAAGTTCTCAGTCACAGTATATCTACATGTGGGCATCTAGGTGTATATAGTGTCACATTAACGGTTCTGCTAACCATTCTTGCCAATTAAATATAAAATGCAAAGTGTTTGGGAGAACATTAAAGTAAGCTATTGGTTATCGGTTGTAACATTTCATTATTGAATCCTGATTTGTCTTCAGGGTCCTTAAGAAGGGGTGACTAAAAGAAACAAATATATTTTTTTCTGATCTAGCTAGATGAAATTGGATTCTGAGTATACTGTTCTCTCATGGGGAGGTGACGTTTCGGAGGTGATAAGCCTGCCAGTTTGCCTCTTTGCTTACAGGAAAAACACAGCTAAGGTCCAAGAAGACCATTTGATTAAGATGTCAGAGTGAGATATGAGATCATAATCCCATGCACTCACATTTCCAGATGGAGCACACAGTTTCTGTTAGTGTCAGATCCCGGAAAACTTCTCTGAAATATATTTCCTGGGATCACAAGTTCAGTATGCAATCATAAGATCACATTATTTGAAGTAAACATTCCTGAAATAGTGAATTATGTTATTGTTGCTAGCTCTCACACAGAAAGCCTTACTATGGTGAAAACTCAGTGGCCTGTTTTACACATACGAACCCAGATTTATAAACCCATGTATTATAAAGTTAGAAACAGGCATGTTCTTTCCTTGCTGTTCCTATCATCAGCCCAGGCACCAGCCCAGATATCCAGGATAGTTTTAGAACAGAGTTCCCTGATGTATTTGAAACAGGAAACTTTGGCTTAATGTTGGCTGACTAACCAGGATGTTAAACCAGAACCAGGTCAGGTCCCAGCTTAATATCCCTGTTAACTGATATTATCCCTAACTCCCCCATTTTGGACACAGTGGGGAAATCTGGAATACAACAAAGATCTCTGGACTAAATAAATCTGGTATGTAAGGAAGGGAAGAGCAAGGAAAAAGTTCTTCCCAGCACCAGATTACAGTGCCGGTAGGTTTGCAGCCTTTGCTTAGACAAAAAGATGTCTTCTTCTGAGATGACTTGAGAACAAATAGCTACTGGAAATATTCTGAAATTAATATCAAGCAACTAAAAGTATTACTGCATCAGAAGTTAAAGTGTTTGTTTATATATTTAAAAAGTACATGGTTACTATGAGATTTCCTGTCAGCAGTTTTGATTGCCTAGATTTGCAAAATTGAACAGATTTGAAATCTAATGGGATTTATGAAATGTAGCAACCCAGCTTTATGCACTTTATCCCTTAACTCCTTATCCTCTGGTTCATCCCATATCAATTATCATTGATACTGTGAAAAAAGAAGAATATGATTCTAATGTATTAATTGCCGAGAAAATCCAGCCAGTGATACCAGCCAGTAAAAATTCACTATAGTGATAGACATTTCAGAATAATCTAATTTTTTAAAAATTTAATTACTGGCAAAAACAAGTGTTGCCATATAGCTTGGTTATTTGGGATTTGCCTAGATTCTGGGCCTGCCATCCAGTGTTTGGGGCCATTAAGTTGGTGCAGCAGATTCCCAGCATTTCCCCTGATCTGTAGATAAGACAAAAGTTCAGGCACTATTCTGCTGAATTGCTTGATGAGAACTCACTTGAACCTTCTGTTGCTCTAGCCAGAGGCAAGTTTCAGCTTTGATAGTGTTCCACTTTGTTTCCCTTCCTTGTATGACCAAGAAGAAGAAAAAACATACGTATACACGTCCACCCACCCCATTGGAATAATGACAGCTGGGAATGGAAGCCTCTCCCAGTGTCAGTATTCTGATATTTGTGTGTTGGTTGTATTGGAGATATTATTTTTTAAACAGTATTTTTTAAATCCAAGAGTTCCTGAAGATGCTTTTAAGAAAATGAAACATCTGGAAATGTGAGTTTGGCCCTTTGCTGTTATGACTAAAGGCCACTGGCAGATCTGCCTTAAACCCACCTAAGCTTGTGGCCATTGCAGCATCATGTGAATTCTTTTAAGAGGTGATTGCATACTGTCTCCCAGTAAACATAGTTAAATAATAACAACTTCTATTATTTTGACAAAATTAGCAGCTGTGTTTGCTCTTTTCACACTTTTATAAAGCTCTGCTATCATCTCCCCCCTTTCTGTGACAAAAATGTCATTCACCACCCCACCCTGCGATTATTTCAAATGCCCCTTTTGTACCTCCAGCTCAGCAGGGTCCTTTCTGGGATGCAACATTTTTTATATGGGCAATCCTGTTATGAGATGATACTGCTAGTTGTTTCATTTTCCAGTCTCATTCCTAAAGCTGAATTTGACTTTTTTACTGCTGCAATACACTGAGCTGACATTTCAGTGACATTTCTTTCATGAACACAAGACCACTTTGTGGGTGTTTGCAGCCAATTCAGGTTCTATCTGCATAAATATGAAGGTTAGATTTTAAAAAACACCCCCAAAATGTATCACTTTGAACTTACTTGCACTGAATTTTACCAATTAATTAGCATACATAATGCACATTAGTGCATTCAGATGAGAAACTCAGATGATACGGTAAAATAATTTCATGCCAAAAAATCATTTGAGAACCCAATCTGAACCCATAATTAAAATACCATTGAAAATATTTTACAGCGGGCAATCGACATAACCGCTAAGCTTAATGGGTCAGTTTCTTCCACAGGCCTGGGGGAAGAGGTACAGTTTTAACTGGCACTAGAAAGTTAGGTAACATCAGTCCCAACCCAGTCTTTGAGGGGAGGGGATTCCATAGAGGGAGCACCACCACAGAGAAGGCACTGTCTTGCGTCATCATTCCAGGGGCCTTACTTAGCGGTGGGACATCCAGCAGCGCCTTCCCTGCAGCTCTTAGTATATGGGCAGACTAGCATAGGGTGTAATGCTTGGCTGATACAGGGAGTGGTGCTGGACCAATAGGCAAGGTGTTCATGCATGCATTGTTTGACTTCCTGTTAACACTTCTAACGCTGAGGTTTGTCAGAGAGCTCAACCTTTGTAATGGAAGTAAATTTGGTGTTATGTTTCTTGTGACCATGCTTCAAAGTTCGATTCCTGCCCCCCACATTATTTTGTTCTTTGTTTGTAGGGGATGTGATCCACCTTGGTGATAGACAGCTCACTGTCATGCATATGCCTGGCCATTCAAGAGGAAGCATTTGCTTACATGACAGAGAACGGAAGATATTGTTCAGTGGGGATGTGGTATATGACGGATCAATGATTGACTGGCTTCCCTACAGCAGGATAAATGACTATGTTACATCCTGCCAGCGACTGATAGACTTAGTGAATAGAGGTCTTGTAGAGAAAGTCCTTCCGGGGCATTTTAACACATTTGGAGCTGAACAGCTCTATCGTTTGGCTTCCAACTACATTTCTAATGCTGGTGTGTGCCACAAAGTTTCTACATGCGCAGTCAGATCGATTGCAAGCCTAGCACTCCGGGCCACAAATTCCAGAACAACTTCATAGTGTAACTTGTTTAATAATAATATTATTATTGTAAAACCCGATGGCATATGTAAGTTTATTTAAAGGAAAAGCTGGCTGATAAGCCATAAAGATTCTTATTTTTATCTACTTAATTTCTACTTTAAAAAAATCCCAGTATAAACTAGTAGCTGTGCCAAAGCTACTAATTTTCCTTCTATTTTTTCAAGGCAGGTTTGCACATACGTTGAGTACTGTTTGACAGATGTTCTAAATTTGTTGTTTTGTATTTTGAAACATATATATGCTAAATGAAAAGTTTTGCACCCGTGTCAGACTTTATTGATGACATCTTGAGTTAGGGATATGTGTTGAAAGTAGATTTTAAATGGTTGAAAATTATTATAAGCTGTAGTGGGGGTAGGGTGGTCATAACATTCCACTGTCTCATTACATGCACTAAGATAAAAGTACCAATAACTTCATTTTTATTGTATGGGGTAAATTTAACCTGAAGTTATTACCAAATGTTAATATAAAGCACTGCACCCTAAGTTGTTACTCTTCTTGAATTAAGTGTGTTGCATTTGACTATTGTTTCTAAAATGAAATGTAAGTGAATATTTCAAGTGTATTGCTTGCTCTTTAAATGTGACTAATGGTGTATGTATGAGTACGTAACTGTTAAAAGATTCCGTCGGATAATTTTAAATATAATGCACACACCCGTGATCATCTTTGGTTTCTTCTGTATAGCAGCTGTAGAAACACTTGTGTGTTGCAAATTGTTTTGTGGATTGTAGAGAATAAATTGGGTCTCAGGAGAGAGTAAATTGAATTTTTGGGGGAGATAGCTGCCAAAAAGCTACAGCTCTAGAGTCATATGTGGTTCTTTTCACATTACAGGTGTAGTTAGGACTTCAAGTAGTAGCTTTGCAACCTACAAATGTCATTCTTCTTTTGTTTCTTTTTCCATTTTCCGTAATGTTTACTTTCAAGCAAAAATTCCTTGTCTGTTGTTTGTACTTTTCCAGTATAAAAATCCTGTGCAGCCCTCTGGGGTGTTACCAATTTATTGTGCAAAGACAGGTTTTTATCTTGTAACTATGACACTGAAATGAAATCGATAGGAAGGATATTAGCAGTGCCCCTTGTCTTGTGAGAACAGTGAACAGCTTCGGGTTGTGGCTGTCACACAAAATTAATTTTTTATCCTTTTGCGACTTTATTGCGTCATATTTCCCATACATCAAAGAGTACTGCACATACAGAGCTTGACCCCAGTGTAATCAGCACTTTAGCCCTCAAGGGTGGATAGGTGGATGTAGTTAATTCTTTAAATGTTAACAGTGCCTATTTCCTGTTGTAGACTAAAGCACAACAGTAAACAGGAAGATCAGACTTGCTGGTGAATGACCGCTTAGAAATGAGGTTAGCAATTTCTTTTAACCCTTATCTTGTTGGAAGCTTTCACCAAATGAATGGAGAAATATATAATGTTTCAGACTGCTTCACTTTGGCTATTGGCTTTGGAAATACCGTTTATTAACAGCCAAAGCCACTAATTTGATACCTTTTAATGCTTGGGAGAAAAGACACCCATGAGCTTGCAACTTTACAAGATATTAATCTAAAAATTAGCAAATACAAAACTCATCAGGTTGAAGACTAGTGCAGATATAATGGAGAGGCCCTCTTGACTGGTGAAGCGATTAGGAATGGGTTGCCGGATCATTCACTCCTACTTGCAGTGGTGCCAACTCCAGTTCCCACAAAACTTTTGCTGTGGGTGCCTGGCCACCACCCACTGCCAGTCGCCACCTTACCTTTGGTGCTCCAGTGCTGCGGGGTTGTGACATCATGTCACACCTTGACATCACAGTGTTGTGGTGTGCGTGCTGGGCATCCACAGTCTGGGGCCCAACTGGGGCCTACCCATTTCCTTCTCAAGTGAATTCCCTCCTGTTTTAACTGCTGCTAAGCATTGTGTCAGCAGCAATATTTAAGCACAGCTAAGGCTAACCTGGTTCCTACTTCAATTTGCAGCCAACTTGAGACTGGTACCTTGTTCATTTTGTAGAAATGTGCACCTTTTGGAATAAACTGCTACAAAATCATTCTGTTCTACTGGAATACTGCTGAAGTGCTAGTGATTTTGAGGCATTAATGGTGATGTTTTTCCCAGAGTTAAAGCAAACTGCCTAAAGCCTCTATTCCTTCTTTCCTACCCACCTTCTCAGTGTCTTGAAAGTTCTTTTCCAAACGCCTTACTGTGAGTGACACATACTAGACAGCTCACTGTGGGAAGAATTTAGCTAAGGAATACTGTGATTGCCAAAGGTTAGACTACTCTTAAGAACTGATCTGAGTTTCTGCTCTTGGAACAGTTCTGTTGGTACATTTTTGTTCTATAAGATGGGACATTTCTGTCCTATTTCAATGCTCACAAAGCCAGATTATCTTCTGAAGTCTGAAGTAGTTCTCGGGAAATGTAGTCAAATAGGAATCAGGCTGTGAAACTCTCCCCAAGCATGTGTTTACTCAAAAGCAAGTTCCACTCAGTTCATTGAGTCTTTATTCTTCATAAGCCTGAGTCAGAGCTTTAACTTAGAACAGGGGTGGCTAACCTGTGGCCCTCCATATATTGCTGAACTACAACTTCCATCATCCCTAATTATTGGCCAAGCTGAATGAGGCTGCTGGGAGCTGGAGTTTAACGTCATCTGGGGGACCACAGGCTAGTCTTCGCTGACTTAGAAGTAAGTCGCACTTGGCTTTGGTTAGTAAAGTACAACCTTAGAGTGAAAATATATAATCTTATCTTTTGTCTTAATTATTTTTATATTCTAAAACCTTGTGTATTTCTGAATGAATTTATTGAAAGACCTTTATCATTAATTATTGTAATGCCTTTAAAAACAACAAAATATATGTGTTCACTTTAAATATTACAGAGTATGATACATTTACTATTGCTTTATTTGTAAACATTCTCTTGACATCCCCTCTGGATTCAGTATTTACAAAGGCTTAAAATGCAATTCTGTTCAACAATGTTATTGGAGTTAAGGCAATGATATGTTGTTGATTCAACTGTTTTTACCTAAGCAAGTCATGGATTGTGCTGTAAAATGCAATTTAAAAGCATTTTAAAAAGTTGTAATGCATTGTTCTGTCTACTGATGAAACTTTACTAATGTGCCACTGTTTTCAAGGGGAAATTGTATATTATTTTATCATAGGTATTGATAATAAAAGAATTATGACACAAAACAGCTCTCCAGTGATCATTTCCATTTCATCTTTAACCCAACCAAAGGAGAAAGTTACATGTGTTGCTTTTGAGAGATGGAATGGATGATGCCAAATGGTACTGGTGTGATAGCCAGGCCATAACAGCTGCCATCACTCTGAAATAGGTTTTTATGTGTGTGCGGTGGGCTTTTGAAAGTTGAAAGGGTTCCTTGCGGAAATGCCCAAATCCTTTTGTGAAAATGAGAACATAATTTCTTGGGATTATTTTGGAGCATAAAACCATTATATCCTACATCTTGCTCTAATGCTGCAGAAAATGCTTTCATTGTGTTTATTATAGCTGATTCAGCTAACTGAACATAAGAGATCACCCACGCTAACTGAGATTGAGGACTCATGTTCCAAGGCACTATGCTATTTACACCACTTATGAACACATCTCCCTTTGTATCTGGATTCCTTCCAGTTATCTTCTGTGGCGCTTTTTCTGTGTTCTTTGTAGATAACTGTTTAAATAAGCCTGAGGTTGCTCACCCATGTAAGAGCATAATGCAAAAGGAATACAAAAGTTTGTGCCTAGAGTAAATTGTAGGAGAAGAGAGGTTCACAAATAAATGCTGAGTGAAAAACACAAGCTCAACACGTTCACATTTCTCATTAAAAGGGATAAAGGGAGAGGTGAAAGGTGTTTTCAGAGTTTAGGAAGTTACAAGTTTCTTGAGTTTTGCAGTAATTTACAAGACAATACAGCTTATGTATTATGTATGTACAACGCAGGTGGCGCTGTGGTCTAAACCACAGAGCCTAGGACTTGCTGATCCCCGCAACAGGGTGAGCTCCCGTTGCTGCTCCTGCCAACCTAGCAGTTCAAAAGCACGTCAAAGTGTAAGTAGATAAATAGGTACTGCTCTGGCGGGAAGGTAAACGGCATTTCCATGCGCTGCTCTGGTTCGCCAGAAGCGGCTTAGTCATGCTGGCCACATGACCCAGAAGCTTCTGCGGACAAACGCGGGTTCCTGGGCCTATAGAATGAGATGAGCGCCGCAATCCCAAAGTCATCTGCAACTGGACTTAACGGTGAGGGATCCCTTTACCTTTACCTTACAGCTTATGTCTGAAAATGTAATGGGCTGGAGCTAGTTAGAATTTTTGTTTTTACTTTCACACAGAAACAAAATAATCTCTTGGAGAAAAAAATGTGAGTAAATAGAACAAAGTTTTATTCAGATACTAAGATTCTCTTGTCCTTTCAAATATATACTGAACAATTACTTTTTTAAAAGAGATGCCATCTGCTGGTTTAGTTCTATATATACAAATATGATATGACTCAGTTCAAAATACGATTCTTCCGTGAATAGCCTTCAGATATTGTAACAGATGAGCTTAACTTTTTTTAAAAAAAACTACATTGAGGCAAGAAATGAAAATAATACAAGCTGCAATTTCAAACAGTGTGTAAGCTCAGAACTAAGTTCTGAGAAAAGAGATGCTGAGGAGGAAGGGTTGCATTAAACTGTAAAAAGTAATATTTGTGTTTTTTCTCTGGTAGGTGCCTTAAGGCTCTGAGAGAAGGAGTTGCCAGTTCTGACCTGGGAGTTCTACTCTTAGAGTACCTCAGATGTCATCTAGTCCAACCCCTGCCAGTGTAGTAATTGCACTGCTGCAGCAACTCTGCTTAAAAATCTCTATCAGAGAATCTATCACCTTCCAGGGGAGCCTGTTCTAATGCCTGTCAGCTCATACCACCAGGAAGCTCTTCCTAATGTTCAATTGAAACTCTCTTCCTTGTAAATTGAACATGTTGATTTGGGTCCTACGCTCTGGAGTAACAAAGCAAAATTGACCCATCATCACTTTGACAGCCTCCCAATAGTTGAAGACTGCCAAACGTATTGGCTCTGAACGTCCCCTTCTCCAGGATAAACATACCCATCTCCCTTAATCTTTATTCACACAGGAATGGAGGTCCAAGCCCTTACCATCTCTTCACGTTGTAGTTTGTCAGTAGCCTCCTTCAGTTGTGTCCAGAACTGGACATGGTATGCCAGGTGAGGTCAGACCAAAGCAGAATAGAGCTGTACATACCATTACTACTTGTATCTTGGACATTATACTTGATGCTTGATGGGGTCTTTCTGTCGCCAAATTAGGAAGAAACGGGGTAAACTAGGCTGAAAGCTTGTGACTTACCAAAATACACTCTGTGGGCTTCAGATATCCAAATCCAAAATCTTGGCTGGTCCAGGTGCAAAGCCCTTGCATCACAGTGACTTATTTTTCATCTTCAGAGACCTCCAAACAATTGCAAAGTAAGCATGCATTGATGTAGCAAATTCATGCTGTCAGGTCCCCCCCCCCCCCAATATGTTCACCAGCTATCAGTCAAGAGTATAAGGCCAGGTACTGGATGTAATGAAGAGACATATACTGTCCAGTAGCTATTGATGGCTTCAGTTTTTATGCATTTGTCAAATCCTGGTGATGTGATGCCCATAACTATTACCTTGTGATAGCCAATTCCATAGTACAGTACAGTACAGTACAGTACAGCAATGACTTGTGTGAAGACATACTCGAGTGTAAAGAGCGCCCTATTCGTAGAAAGGAGAAGGGTGTGTGTATTAATGTCAAGAAGGCTATTTTGAACGGTGCTCCCGTGTGCTTTGATTTTCTGTGAGCGGAGCCTTCTCTATGTGAGGCCATTCAAATATGCGACCTCCAGAGCATGAAGCTTTCAGTACTAAATTCTGTCCAATGTATAAAATGCCCTTGACTGATAGGTTCAGATTCGTCCCTCCTAAAACGACTTTATTGCTTTCGTATTCATATCCTAGGGAGGATGCGCTACAAGGCTGCAGCCAATGAGACTCTAGGACGGGCGGGCTCTTATTACGTCAACAATCAGCGCGGCGACAATTTGCCCTGAGCCGCGACGTTCCTCTCCCCGGCTTCATTGTGACGTCTATAAGCAGCAACGCCTTCTGGGTAAAACGTTGGCGGCGTACCACCAATTTTCAACAGGAGACCAGGGAGGCGCGCCTGGGACTTGATTGACAAGCGGCTTAGCCACTTGCGATGGCGCTGTGAGCGGCGGGGCGGGAGGGACGCTTCGCGGGGTCCAATTAAAGCTCGCAATCCGAAGAGGGGAAGCGGCGTTGTCGGAGGGGACGGGTTTCGCGCCCCGCTTTCCAGGGAAAGGCTGTTGTTCCTCTTGATTCCGGGTTCCGGTGGCCAAAGTAGCCGAGACACGCTGCCCCCCTTCCCGCCTGGTTTTAAGGGGTGGGGCTGGGAGAATGAATTTGGTGGCGAGGTTGGTACCTTGGCGGGAGGGAGGGAAGCCGCGAGCGAAGGGCTTTTTGCTTCTTGTTGCTATGGCAACGCAACGTGTTTTTCACCCCCTCCCCACCGTCGCGAGCCGCCTTGTCGCGATATTTGCCGCAGGGAGCGTGCGCACTGGCTCCGGGTGGCGCGCGACATCCCCTTCCCCCCTCTCGTCGCAAAAGCATTTGGTAGCTTTTTTTTTTAATTATTATTATTATTATTATTATTACTTACATCTTGTTTTGTTGATAGTTGCCTTGGACCTTGTAGGCGAGGGAAGAGGAAGGAAGAATAATGCGTGTCCCCGCTTAGGTTCTCAAGGCTGCTTGTGGAAGTGATTTAATGCCATTTAGATTGATAATCTAAGCAATTTTAGCACATCGAATAATGTAAGCTTGCAACCAAGGTGAATAGGTAGGCAGCAGCCCAGCGTTCACCTTAAAAGATGGAGTGAAAGCTAGAGACCCTTCTTATGTAGGAGGACACGCACAGAGTTGAGTTTTCGGGCTGTGATGCTCCAGGCCATCTTCATAAACGTTAGGAAGTGATCCTTGGTGAGGTGGGCTGCCACTACAGAGCACAGAGCCATAGCTTAGTGGTGCAGCAAATGCCTTTCCAGATTGGTTCTTGGTATCTTCTAGGCAGGGCAGGGAATGCCATCTCTGAAGCCATGCAGAGCCTCTACCAACAGAGCTTTCCAAACTGTTGCAACACGTTAGTGTCTTGGCTGCAATGTGTTCGTGTGTCGTGCAAACGCTCCCGTGCTCCTTACCAGGGCTGGAAAGGGGTTAGTTTAACCTCTGGTTTGCTAGTAAAACTGAATTACTGTGTCATAGAATTGTAAGAGTTGGAAGGGACCCTGAGGGTAATCTAGTCCAACCCCCGGATATGCAGGAATAGGCAGCTGTCCCATACAGCACCATGCTCTAACCAAGTGAGCCATCACTAAATGATGCATGTCTAAAAAGTGTGTCACCAGCCTGAGAAGTTTGGAAAGCTGCAGTCTACCATAGTACAGAACGAGATGGTTTAATGGTCTGACTTTGTAGAAAGCAGGTTTTTTGTGTTCATTTAGGTGCAAACATCAGCACCCTTGCTTTCCTTACTAAATCAGTATAGGAACTCCCGTAGCCTTTAGGAATGCAGAAGTCCATTTTAAGCATATAATATACATATATCAGGGAAATGGTGAACTAAAAAGAGCAGAAGGGAGTCTTGATGGCAGATGGAGTATACAGTTTTGTCATTGTAGTCTCTAGTCCAAGTGTGGCAAACATTTGGCCCTCCAAGATGTTGGAAGAACTACAGCCCCCCTCATTCCTGGCAATTGGCCATGCTTGCCAGGGCTGATGGGAATGGTAGTTCAGCAACAGCATCTGGAGGGCCAAAGCTTTCCTACACCAGCCCTAGCCCAAATGCAGTTGTTTATGAATCCATCATAAATCTTAAAACTAAGACTGGACATTTCATGAAATCACTTCTCATTCTGTTTTCTTCATCAGCAAGGTGACACATACCTACTCACTAAGATATGCCACAGAACTAAAATTGTGTGTTCTTTAAGAGAGAAAAAACATACCTGACTACATTTGTCTTTATGTTCTAGATCTGAGCTTCCTGTTGACAAAACCAAGAGAAAGAAAAGAAGAGACTTGACTGAAGAACAGAAGCAAGAAATTAAAGATGCTTTTGAGTTGTTTGACACAGATAAAGACAGAGCTATAGATTATCATGAACTGAAGGCAATTGATTTTCTTATAAAAATATTGATATTTTGCTTTATAATTGTACAGTGTTGTATAATCCTTATAAGGTGTGTTAGCTACATATTGTGACACATTTTTCTGTGGTATACATGCTATGAACAAAGATGGCTGATACAGAGTAAAACTGTGGTGTAATAGCATTTACCGTATTTTTCGCTCTATAACATGCACCCGACCATAACACGCACGTAGTTTTTAGAGGAGGAAAATCCGTAGGCATGCCACCCGTAGGCATTCCCTCCATAACATGCACAGACATTTCTCCTTACTTTTTAGGAGGAAAAAAGTGAGTGTTATGGTGCAAAAAATACGGTATATAGCACTTGCTGAATATTCAGTAAGTATACAATATTAGTAATCATTGCAACCTTCCTATGAGATAGGCTAGTATTGCCCCCATAGTGTAGAGGAGGCTGAGATTGTAAGGAAGTGGTTTGCATGTAGTGAGGTTTGAACTAGTTTTATAGCTCACACTTTAGCAACTTCACTGCAGCAGCTCTTGAATTGGTGTTTTTAATGTTTGCTATCTGTTTCTATGATGTTTAAATCAGCCATAAGGCAGAAGCACTTAAAAGTAAATACTAGGAAAGATGCATTCCCCTTGGTCTCATAGTTAACATAGATCTGCATTCCAGAGGAAACTATAGATCTAGAATTTTAGCATTGTGGTATGGTATACGTGATACCATCATAGCCTGTTTCTCTTTGTCAGAAACATCTTAAGGCTGCTATGTGGAGTTACGTGCAATATATTAATGTTCTAAGAACCTTGATGTCAGTGGTGTTAAACTTGTTTGCTCTGAGGAAAGTCTCCATGATTTCAGTAAGGCTTAATCCCATGCAGCCTTGATATAATAAACATAATTTTCAAAATGTCATATTGTCAAATCTTCTGCTCTCATTTTGTAAGAGCCAAAGGCAGCATGGGTGGGAAATTTATTCCATCTGGTTGCCATCCCAGAGTGTCTTTTTCATAGAGCTATTTTTTTCTTGTTCTTTTCTCACAAAAATTCACTTTTGGAACTTGGAGAGATAGAAGTTGTTGCTGAGCTGTTTAGGATACTGAAAGCACAAACTAATACATTTCTACTCAGTCAGCATGCTTATTTTGTAATGTCAGTAAACAAGAGGTTAAACAAGGACGGCAAGTTGGTAATTTGCGGGTGCACCCAGTTCTCTCCATTAACTCCAGCAGTAGCATAGAATAAAATATTATGCTCCTTCAGCATTGGCTTGATCACTCCTGCTCTCCTGAAAAAGTGCTGGCAAACCCAAAGGTATAGCAAGAGAGTTACCTTTGTCTCCCTCCACTGGTAAACCTCCACCCAAAAAACAGGAAATCACCATAGTGGCTCCTGTGGGATCACAGGATCACGTTAACTCTCATCTATCAAAGTAGCACTTCAGGTGCTGCTTTTGGAGGCACCAGATGCTTCTTGGCTAGAGATCAGGAAATGTTGTTGTTTAGTCATTTAGTCGTGTCCGACTCTTCGTGACCCCATGGACCAGAGCACGCCAGATCAGTAAATATAGATCCATAAATGATGTGCAGAGTGCTGTTTGGCTTGGCTTCAGAGCACCCATTGAGATTGTTCAAGAGATCTCTGCAGTGTTGCAAGAGCCTGTTGGTAATGTCCTGTTTGCTGCCAAGAGGGCAGTATTGCTTCTCCCACTCTGGACGCCAGATGTGTCAGCTTGGGTACGGCAATCATGTTCTGTCCCCCCCCAGCCAGCCAAGCACTTAAAACTGCACAAACTCCAATTTTTTTGTCCTCCAGGCATTTGTGGAAAAGTGGGCAGACTTTCAGAAATGTTTAACCATTTGGAAGTTTTATCTTTACAATCCCATACATCTACCTAGGATTTTTTTTCTTTACTATCATCTAGGAAATTCTCATGTTAGTAAAAATGTCATTTATTAACATCAACTTGCTATTGCAGTCAGTATGAACTACGATGAATAAATGATTTGTGAGTCAACATTGTTGCATTTCTGTCTTTTCCCAAAAGGTGGCAATGAGAGCCTTAGGTTTTGATGTGAAAAAAGCAGATGTGCTAAAGATACTTAAAGATTATGATCGGGAAGGAACTGGGAAAATCACCTTTGAAGATTTTAATGAAGTTGGTGAGTGCTGGATTTTAAACATGTATTGACAGGAGGAAATTTGAGAATAATTGATAGCTGGAAATATATCTGGTCTGATTCTTAATGGATGGGTATCCAAATGTATCGGGGATAACAGATGAACCTTTTAATGTTTACAGCATTGTGTGTCCCCCCCAAAAATAAATAAATGAATGAATAAATAAATAAAGAACTATCAAAATTTTGCTTTGACCCTCTGCATGCACTTTCTTCTCTTCTATCCCACCTTTATCTGCCAGTAGTTACGAAACTGAACAAAGGTGATAGATAACCTTAAACTTTACTAGCATTCCATAGTTTTTCATGTCCTGCTATTTCCCCCCAGTATCTCCTTTTAAAACTAATTTATTTTTTTATTCCGTATCCACAACTTTTTTTTTTTAAAAAAAAACCTATTGGACTATGAAAAAGTAATTATTATGTTGGGGCAATTTTTGTATTTAACTTTGGCAGCCGTATGTAGAAGATTCCTACAATATTTGCTGTTGCTATAGAAAGATCAAAAGAGAGAGTAGGTTTTCTGCAGAAATGAAGTATAACTACTCGGCTACCTTGCTAAGTATTCAGTAAGTTGTGACATTTTCCATATATTCACTTCCTATGTGGAGTTCAAATCCATGCAGTTGAGGTTATTAAATGTACGTACAATCCCCCCCCCCCGCCTCTTTAGGTAGATGATGGAAGCTAATCTTTTAAATTCTTTGGGTCAGAAACCTGAGGGCTTGGAATAGAGTTAGAGCATTTCAATGCAGAATTATTATTTTTTTCACCAACAGAAGTAGAGTTAATTTCATAGAAATAGACCAGATTTCCCAATTGTTTTCATTTTAGTGACAGACTGGATACTTGAGAGAAATCCTCATGAAGAGATACTCAAGGCATTTAAATTGTTTGATGATGATGATTCGGGTAAAATAAGCCTGAGAAACCTGCGCCGTGTAGCTAGAGAACTTGGGGAAAACATGACTGATGAAGAACTTCGGGCAATGATTGAAGAATTTGATAAAGATGGTGATGGAGAAAGTAAGTTCTAAAAATGCTGTGTTCATGTGCTAATCGTAAATATGATATAGAAATAGTGCATTGAATTAGTTTTCTGTGTGATGCTTTTATGGTCAAGCAAGTGACTGATTTTCTCTCCAGAAAATGTAATCCTACAAACTACCCATGGATCTGGGAATGAAATTCAGTTTCTCCCTATTAAAGTATGAAATTATATGTCATAGGTTATACATGAATGTATTGGCCTCTTCTGTTATTTTGCAATGAATAAATAAAACTGGGGTGAATTATTGACTGCCTACAATGCTGTTGAATCTGCAATATAAGTCACTAAAAAATAACCATAGAATCTTCTTCAGAAATCAAGAAATTTAAGTGTACCTTCAAATTTAGAAGACAAGGCCAAGAGGATTTGGGGCTTGCAGCAATATGCAGCATGAAATGATAGCAGCATATATATATATATATATTTATATGTAAGCAATTACCAACTAGTCTGTTTTAGTAAAGCTAAATTATTTTAATTTCGTTCGATAATTGCCTGCTCTGAGGATTTCATACCAAGTTAATCCTTCAAAAGGGTCCACTACAGACTTTCCAAATGAATGTTAATTTGCTTTAATATTTTTGAGAGAATTTCAGTATTTAGCCTCCTTCAGACTGCTAAAAGGAGCTTATTTGATTGATAAAAGCTTTCAAGTAAGATATGCAGTCAATACTTACCTGTTTTCTTCGTTTTTTTTCAGTCAACCAGGAAGAATTTATTGCCATCATGACTGGAGATGTTTAATGGTACAAGAAAAGAAATGAACTTGGCACAAAAAGGAAGGATTATCGGCTTTCAGCATTGAAGCTGCCACCTTTCTGTTAATTTCTGTAGCAGGAGCCATGCAAAAAATAATTTTCCTCAAAGGACCAAAAGAAACACAAAATCTATGTACTAAGAGGTTGATATTTTATATCATTAAATTTTAGATTAAGCAGTGTTACGTTTGAGTACTCATTTGTAAAATAGCTTTGTATAAGAATTTTAAATTAAATCATAGTATAAAACCTTTTGAAGTTGACATTATTTTAGCATTAGCCGTGGCCTTAGTTTTTATATAAGAGTTTAACAGACATCCATTTTAATAAAGTATTCTTTTTATATTCTGTAACCCTTGTTGGAGTGTTTAATCCAAATGGAATGTGGTTGTAATTGTCAGCTGTTGTACTGCTTAATTTGGTGGTGAAATCACATTTGGCCTTTTAGGTTATGCTTTTGTTGTGCAGCAGTAATTGTAAACTATTTATTGCATTACATTTTGTGTCACTCCTTTCCCCCAAGGGATTTACTCCCAAAGCCTTTCTCATGAATGAGTATAGCTGCAAGGCAGCAGAGTTCTAGGATCAGTTTACCATCTCCTAGATGAGCTACCTTCCCAGGTTGATGAGTCCCACCTACCCATCATTTTCCTCTATGGCCTGTACGGTAACCACCTTCTTGACTGTTGGACCCACTATTGCTGTCATCCGCTCAATACTGCCTGTCTTCACATGCAGAGGAAGACCCTAACGCACTGAGGGTTTGAGACCCATCAGCTACCATTGGGGTGTATGAGTTGTTAGGGGAGGGGTCGAACCTCTGGTAAGGGTCATGTGGTTCTGGGGTCCTTTGTCCACCATCCTGCACTCAGCTTTCACCTGTGGCTCCTAGAAGCTGTCAGCATGCCACACCCTGGGAAATGGCTTCAACTGTCCAGCTAAGCCAGGTAAAATAGAAAAGTAACTGAGTTCCATTACTTTCGTTAGGTCTACTCTTGAGTATGACTTGGGGAAATAACTTGCAATCTTAGAAGAGGCAAACTGCCTTCTAACTACTTCCTTTTTCTTGGGGAAACTAGCTGTAACCTCAGTATACAGTGGTACCTCACAGACGCTTCAGGTTACAGACTTCGCTAACCCAGAAATAGTACCTCGGGTTAAGAACTTTGCTTCAGGATGAGAACAGAAATCGTGCAGCAGCGGCACGGCAGCAGTGGGAGGCCCCATTAGCTAAAGTGGTGCTTCAGGTTAACAGTTTCAGGTTAAGAACGGACCTCCGGAACGAATTAAGTTCTTAACCCGAGGTACCACTGTAAAATGTTAGATATGTTGCATAAAATGCATTCCTGATTGATCTAATCAGAGGCTATGTTCTTAAGCTATCATACCTTTTTTGTTTGCCTTTTGCATGCTTTATGTGTGTTCTGTTAAGTTGTCTTCCATTTGGCTAGATGTGTCATTGCTGTAGACACCTTTTCAGCAACTTCGAAGTTAGGTACCACAAGTTACTGGAAGATAACGTTTTGATGTTGATGCTCAGAATCTTAAGGGTTGTTTTTTTTTTAGAGCGAAGCTTGCTTTAGTTGTTTGAGAGATGCATTTCACTTCATATATCCGAACACGATAACCTTTTTTCTCTGAAGTTTAAACAACAAAGTTGAAAGCATAATGCAAGGATGCCAGATGGCCCTGCTAACATCAATCCTAGTGTTGGGGAAAAAATGGTTTGCATGTCATGAAGGGAGAAGAAGCAAGTGATTCACACTTCTTCACCCTATTTTAGGTGTTCCTGTAAATCAGGCATAGGGAACCTGTGGCCAAATTAGCCCAGCAGGGATGCTAATTGGGCCTATGAGGTAATTCTTCCCTAGCCAAGCCTACCTGTCCCCCACTAAATGCCATATGATGCCCAGTGTGGAGCAGATAAAACCCTACAAAGACCGTGTAGGGCACTCCCAATTGTTCCTCTGCAAGCAAGGCATCTTTAAATTTGGAGCCAAAGTCCTAATGAAATGAGTCCCTGCCACTGGAGTCAAGTCTCTTGGCAAGTTGGAGTGGAAAGATGGAAAGCAGAGAAGTAGTTAAGCATCCTTTTCCTCCCCACTTTTTCTAATCAGAGCATTTGAAAGCTGCTTTGCAGGGGAAAAGATGCCAGAACACCTAATATTCACATTATAATGGTAAGAGAGGCACTGTACATTCTTCCGTGCTTTTCAAACACTCCCATCACCCTCTGCCAGCTTGGCCAACGACTAGAGATAATAGGAATTGTAGTCCATAGTGCCACAGCAGCTCTACTTTGAAGCAAGCTCTTAAAAAGTATACACAGTTGCGAGAGTCCACTCTGTTCTCTGCGCTTCTTGTCCCTGCAGTCAGACTCCGACAAATATTTATTTAAAAGGAGGGTAGATAAGACACTTGTTGCTTGACTTCATTCTGGGTTCCTGGTATTCAAATGATGCGCTAACATTTACAGAAGACAAATGGGGTGCATAGCTCAGTTGGCAGAGCATAAGACTCTTAACCTCAGGGTTGTGGGTTTGAGCCCCACGTTGGGCCAAAAATTCCTGCATTGCAGGGGGTTGGACTAGATGACCCTCATGTTCTCTTCAAAACATTGCAGTGAAGAGTGTTCCTCTTCCCCAGTACTTTTTTTCTAGAGAAAAAGGTGCCAGAACGCACCTCTTTGGGCTGGGTGTGTGTCTCCTCGCGAGCCAGAGGCTTGTTGAGGCTGCTTCGCTGAGACACAGAGAGGTTTCCAGAGTAGGATGGGGGCTTTCTCAGCTGAAGTGCGGCTTTCTCAGTGTCAGTTGTTAGCTGGCAGGCTGCAGAATCTCAGCAAAGGCCTGCTGCACCTCTGGCTCACGAGGAGACCTTCTCAGGATGTCCCCATTGGGCTCCGGGGAGGGTCTCCTCATGAGCCAGAGGCCCAGCGGGCCTTTGCTGAGGCTGGCCATGTCTCTCCCCACACTTCCAGGGCCGAGCTGAGTGCTGTCGGAATGCCTTTCCAGAAAGTTCCAGCTGGAGGGGGAAAAAAGCTCTTCCCTCTATTCAATTTCCCACCTCAAAATCAACTCTCCAACCACTGAGCACGCTCAGTCCTCATTGCACTGTTTGGAGTGTCCTGCCCTTAGGATTTTTCTTTTTTCTATACATTTTTGGTACTTCTGCAAGCCTTCCTCCCACAAGCTGACTGCTGCAAATGCTGTGAAAATTGCTTCCACTTTATTTTTCTTTTTTCTATTCCCCAGCATTCAATGGGAAAGAAAATGAAAATTCAAAAATTAGGAAATTTCTGCAAATTTCTAATGGATGGGGTGCAGGGTTTTTGATGCACTTCCCTTCCTTTCAAAGTTGCGAGGGGAGAGTGCCCGTTATTTCATTCTACAAATCACTTCTTCAGTTGTGTACGCTCAATACTTTCTTGGGAGCCTGCATTTCTTGAAAACATGACATCCACCACTCACTATTTTGTAAGTACTGGAAAGTGGAGAGGCTGCCTACTGTGTGCCTGACAGCTGCTCATAAAAAAGTGAAGTATTTTCACTTTTTAAAGAAATCAGTCCTGAATTATTCTTATCTAAATAAAAAACAGAAAAGAAAAAGAAGGTTTTCACTTGAAAAGAAAATCAGCGAGTGCACTGACCCCACGTGCTTGTTAGCCATTCTTCCATGTTTCCCACGTGTCAGTTTCCCAGTTAAAGTTCAGGGGAAGAAATCACGAGGTAACTTTTTTTCCCAGGTCAGCTTGAGGGTGTTGGTTCCAGGCATCGGAGAATATTTTACTCGTTTCATAAAATTTATATGTCTCTTAACTGTAAAAACAAACCAGAGAAAATCGGAGAAAACTCTAAAATCATCAGTAAAACAGTTAAAGATAGTTTTTTTAGAACATTGATGAAATATTTAAAATCAAAAAGAAGCTAAACATGGATTAGAGCACATGCCAATATTTTACATAGGCTCGCCTAAATAGGAATTATTTTAGTAGGTGCTGAAGAGAACAGTGAAGGTGTCTGCCTGATGTCAATAGGCAGGGAGTTCCAAAGGAACAATATGCCACCTGTGGCAGTGCCAATTCTGCAGATCAAAGTCACCAAATGGACATATATGAGGTAAGGCAATTTCACAGGTAAAAGCACATCTGCTTTATGGGAAGAAAAGCACATGTGCACTAGCAGATCTCTGCCTGGATGGTGCTGTTTTGGCTGCAGAAGAAACCACATTCCTCTCTGAAACAGAAGGAATGATTTACTGCTTTCTTTAACTGTGTTTGGATATTGTTGGATTTTCTTAATGACTAAATGAGGAAAGCAACCAGTGCAGAAGGGAGAACAATTTGTCTTGTACTAGAATTAGCCGGTGCAGAAGCCAGAGCTCGTTCTACTGTTGTATTTTTTCATTAGGTCAAGAGTTTCATCAGATAGCGGCTGTCGTCAGCAAAACCTTCCAGACATCATTTCTGTACCAGTCTTGGGAGATAATTGCCACTATAGCAAGTCTGCAGGGACATTCGGAAGGTTTTCATCATTGGTTAACAAAAGGAAAATGGTCTCTCTGAGAAAAAAGAGAGGTCAGTGTTTCAAGATCTTCCTTCATCCCCACATTATATCAAGGGAAAATCTGTACAAATCCAATTGGGTAGTTTTGCTACAATATCAAAGCTGAACAGGAGGTCACGCGAAGCTTCAAAAATCTATACAGAGGATTGTTTGCTTTTCTGTCTAGCAAAAACATGCTACAGGCACTATCTATTAGCTGTGGACTAGTAAGCATTGCATCTCAAAAACGTAAGACAGCTTGCTTCTTAATGCCATGCACACACCATGAATATGACTTAAGTATCTCTTTGTTGCATAATCCTGACATTGAACTCCATACTATTTTTAACAGAAAACTCAAAGATCCACCCTACCCCACTGCCAAAACCGCCTCCCCAACCCAAGTTATTCTAAAAGTGTTTGAAAACTATTATTAATCGACCTCAAATATGCTGGCACACTTTTGCCAAGATATTAATACCGCTATGAGTTTGTGAATACAAGGACAGTTTGGTGGAGAGGAAGTAGACTCTATGAGAGACCCTTTTGTGCCTGGATCCAGCACAGATTCAAATGCTGGAATAGCCAGTCCAGACAGGCCATTAAGAAAACCAAGGAAATGGGGCTTTGTGCCAGATAACAAATGGGTAAGACTCCTCCTTCAGCACTTAGATATGAGACTAGGCCTGGGTGACGCATCAGAGTTGTCATGACAGAGACTGAATTTTTAAGGCAAAATTAGCTGTTATGTGAGCCAGGAAGGGGAGAAAAAGTAGCAAGCCGAGTGTAAGATATACCTCGGTTTTTGAACGTCTCTGTTGATGAACATTTCGGAACTCGAACGCTGGAAGTAAATGCTTCTGTTTTCGAACGCTTTTCGGAAGTCGAACACCCCATGCGGCTTCCGTATTCAGTTTTCCGGAAGTAAATGCTTCGGTTTTTGAACGTTTCGGAACTCGATCGGACTTCCAGTATGGATTATGTTCGAAAACCGAGGTACCACTGTACTTGATAATCAGATAGTGCTAATATTCTTTATTTGGACATCATTAATTTAACCAATGCACAACTGTACTCATTCAACATGCCCATTTTATAATTTTGTTTTTTTATCTTTCATATATTATCTGTTGTTATATTTGTTCTCTCTGTTTTATATACATCATAACAGGAAATTACTCTAAAAATTATCTTAGTGTGCGACAAGGTTTATGAAACTCACCAATTACAAAGGGAGATGAATTGTCTTTACTTTTCAAGACACAATGTTTTCATGTTAGAACTCATTTTTAGTGTGTGCACATGCTACCTATTAATTCCCACCATATCCCCCAAATCCTTTTTAAAACTATGTAGTTGTAGGTCTGCACTTATTTTGCATTGTTATACTATTTGAGGAACTTGGTACATATCAACGGTAAATCCAATGTAATGGATTGAGTATTCTGTTAACGTGATGAAATACTTAGCAGGTAGATTTCCATTTTTGCGCTTGTATCTGGACTGGTGGGGCTTCTGATGTGATTGCTTAATGAAGCAATTCAGTACCGAAGAAACAGCATATCTTGCATGATATTATTAAAGTGGCATACAAAGCTTAATTAAATCTCTTCAAGCATTCATTTTTACGAGTGGGAGAGAACTTTGAATGTAACAATCAAGGTTGCTATAGTGGATTAGCACAGATAAATTTAGAAGTTGAACAGCATAGATTTTAGCTTTTCCCCCCACTAGGGGGACCTATTGTTATTATATAGCAGCATCTGAAGAAGAAATGAAGGGAAAAAGTGGTCTTTTAACTCTGTCAGTGCATTGACACCTTAAAAGGTATAAAGTTTTTCACCCGTTGTAATCTTTGATTTTTTTAGACATCTAATTTTTTAAAGTAATCTCAGATTTCTTTATAGCACCACAGACAAAAAGTGAACATTTAAAAATCTACACACGTTTGATCTTTTTTGTGTTTTATAAAATACATTCTTCATAAGGAAAGAAACAGGCTTTATGTGAGTTTAACTCATTTCTTTATTTATTTTATTGAAAAAGCTAAGATTGCTCCATTCAGCTCATGGACAACCAATAAAAGGAAGTGCCTCTTTGCAGCTCATAGTTAAATTATGGCACTCATTCCCACAGGAGGCAGTAAAGACCACCAACCTAGATGGCTTTGAGAGAGGATTAGACAAATTCATGGAGGACAGGGCTATTGGTGGCTATTAGCCATGATGGCTCTGCTCTGCCTTCACAGCTGGAGGCAGCAACATGTCCAAATACCAGTTTCTAGAGACCACAGGAGGGGAAGGTGATCTTGTGTTCGAATCCTGCTTGTGGGTTTCCTACAGGCATCAGGTTAGGCCCTTTGTGAATAGGATGCTGGACTAGATGGGCCATTGGCCTGATCCAGCAGCCTCTTCTTACATTCTTACTTCATCCAGCTGTTTACATGTGAAAACTGTGTGTTCGTGTGTATCTCAGTGGCGTGAGTGGATGGAGGGCAAAAGCCAAGGGAAAGATGGTTTTCCTCCTCAGCAACAGTTAGTGTTTGTGCAAAGGATGTGGTATTCTATCCATAGAATCATGAGCAGAACGGAGAAAATATCTAACGGAGAGTTCTGAAAATGCTTCTGTGAGACGGTGCCCAAGAGTACCTCAATTAGGTAAAATTCCAAAATCCATATTAGTGCAAAACTTCTATTAGAGCAATCAAAATGTCAGGAAAATAGTGTGCAATCTTTTGCAGGTCTCATGCTTCTGCTTGTGTGAGAGGCTGAATCTAGTTTCCCCTTTCCTTCATGACACTCAACATAAGGTGTAAAATATTCCTCTGGGAGCAGAATGCATGTTTGCGTGCATAAAGGCACCTTTGGATACAATCCATAGCACGCACACACATGCACTTATGTGAAATGCACATGTGTGCACACTCACAGTTGGTTGAGAGAGGGCTAGGTTCAGGAACAATGGATTTTTTATTTTTTTATTTTCTTGTTTCTGAGCCCTGAACAGGTCTGGGGAGAG